AAGGATTTTTTTCTTTGTCCCACGCTGGTGACATGACGAAAAACATCTTTATCTAACTTAAATGTAGTTTAAATGTTTCATTTCTTAACCGTTTTATCCCTATTTTCTATACGTTTTGACTATTAGTATAGGTAATCACATGATTTCGAGTGCAATTTGGAATAAGCAAGAGTAAATTTTTTCAAAGAGCAACAAAATTGCATGAGCCCGTAGGGCGAGTACAATTTGTAGTCTCTGAATAAATTAACAAGTGCTTATTTATTCCAAATTGCACGAGGAAAATCATGTGATTACGTATTAATAATATACATGACAAAATACGAGATAGCTGATCACAGTTATGCAGAAGCAAAGCGCGCGCATCAAGTGCAAAAATAATGCTGGGTCAGCTCGTAATTTTCGATTTCCTTGGCAATTCCCTTATCTAAACACCACTTTTTTCAAACCGACAACCAAAAAGCAGTGCTTTTTACAGTTTTTTCGTTGTTAGAACTGTTTTTCGGCTGCTGTATTGTTGTTGCGGTGGCGAAAGAAAACCTTCTTAAAACGCCGGCAAATGCTTCCCTCGCAAATTTTCAGCGTATCCAAATGTTGCGATATCCAAAGCTCGCATGCGATTTGCTATCTGTGAGTTTCTTTGATTATTGACCAATCAGAATGTCTGGTTTGTTACTTCTTTGCACTGAATTAACCCTCTTCTGCATTGTATTACAAGAAAACTGCATTAATCTTAACCAATCAGAACTGAGTAATTTTTTCATTTATACTATTATACTTGTAATGACCAACGGTCCACACTAGCTGTTGTCTATAAGATCCGCCGATTCGTCTTCAAGTTTAAACAAAGCTTCTATTACCATTATGACAGTTTTCATCCTTGTAATTATTACTAGTACCATCATCATCATCATCATCACTGTGACTATCATCATTATCATAATCATAATGAGTATAGACTAGTAAGATTCCCTGATACAAAAACAGGGAAGAGAAGATTCTCTTTTGACTTAAACTTACTTTCTAATCAATCTAAAAGTTTCCCCCCATTGGTTTAACTTTTGGACTGTTTGAATAATCGATGGGGTGAACTTACGAACAGGTTGACCCTTAGGGTGAAATCCATTGACTTAACTGAGTATAGATGCCTACCTGTTCGCTTTCTTTTAATCATTTAACTCATCCGGTTACTAAGTTACCTACGCTTTTGTCAGTTAAGGTTGCTGTTAACAAAAAAAGGTGTTTTCCGGAAAAATCGTCCTACGCGCGCTACTTTTAAAGAAACCATGGAAAACTATATATCACTGTAACGCTTTATAAAGAACAGATTAAAATTCACAAAAGTTCCCAAAGATTTTGTTTGGGTTGGCGCACGCGAGCTTTTAAGCTCAAAACCGACAGTGTTTGCTTTACTGAATTACCAGCTTTTGCGTTCCCGCGGACCTCCAAAAAACATAATAGGCTAACAAAAAATTGACGCCTTTTTTAATATTCTTTTTAGTTCCTGAGAATATCGATTTTGAAGTTGGACAACACAAAATGTTTTGGTTCTTGTTACCCTCTGGGACGTCCAAAGAGAAATATTTCGAATTTCGTAAAAGCCTCAAATACTTTGGAGTGCTAAAAACTGCCGAACATTCTGGCCAATTTTCATAAATATCCAACATACCCTATTAATTCGTTAAAGAAGTAGTAACTCGCGCACAAAACAAAACTCGAGTTTTCGGCCTCCAAAGAAATTCACAGGTTTGCGCCTCATTCTTGAAAGCACCTTTCAATGCGGTCATGCTGCCGACCAGTGAAACGCAACATCGAAACCCTGGCAAGTTTCGCGAAAAAGAAATCCTTTGAAATTCCCGGAAACAGAACGAAAATTGGACAAAGGAAGCTTGAGCAAAAGAAAAACTTAATTTCGATTTCTTAGGCCTAGGATCTCTCGCGACTATTCTCTTTCTGGCTGTTTTATGAATGCTCTTAATACTAACGTTTGGCGAAATGTGCCCGAAATTCCCTTTGGTTGTGCAATGCAATACGCGATGTAAATGAAATATGCAAATCGAGATCCCAAACGAAAGCCCGCGGAAAACGTCAACATCCCGCAGGAAGCCTTTCCGGTTAGGACACCTTTCGCTCCACGGTACAAGTTCCCTTGTTCTTTCAGCCGTATATTCCGTTCGTTGAAAGATATTGTCATTTTTTCGACAAATTAAACTTAACCACGTTCTCCAACTAAAGAGAAAGAATACCAAATTTAAAAAAATTTGACTAGATTTTGTCGACAATAACCTAAAGTTTATCACTCATCACAGTTTACAGAATCTAACAGGAAGAGCGTCCTGAAGGAATCCTCTCCATTCGGTAGGTAGATAGCAACGCTACATACTTGAATAACGGTACTCTTGTCTTAAGTTCCCTTTGGTTGTGCCATACGCGATGTAAATAAAATATGCAAATCGAGATCCAAGACGAAACCCCGCGGAAAACGTCAGCACCCCGCTGAAGGCCTTTCCGATTATGACACCTTTCGCTCTACGGTACAGGTTCTATTGTTCTTTCAGCCATATCTCGCGTTCTTTTAAAGATTTATTCATTTTTTCGACAAATTAAACTTAACTGCTTTCCTCGACTAAAGAAAAGGAAAACCAAATTATACAAAAATTTGACCAGATTTTGTCGACAATAATCTAAAATGAATTTTGTTTCAACCTCCGAGCTGCCCACACGCAAATATCCCTGTGACCTATGACCTCTAAATGAAGCTCAGTTCTAGCATACAAACCAAACAAATCTCATCACAGTTTACAGACTCTAACAGACAAAGCATCCTGAAGAAATCAACTCAATTCGGTAAGTAGATAGCAACGCCACATACTTGAATAACGGCGCTCTCGTCTTAAGTTCCCTTTGGTTTTACAATGCGATACGCGATGTAAATAAGATATGCAAATCGAGATCCCAGACGAAACCCCGCGGAAAACGTCAACACCCTGTTGGAGGCCTTTCCGATTATGACACCCTATGACACCCCTTCACCCTAAGATACAGGTTCTCTTGTTCTTTCAGCCGTATATCGCGTTCTTTTAAAGATTTTCTCATTTTTTCGACAAATTAAAGTTAACTGCCCGACTATACAACAAAAGATCGAAATGTTGAAAATTTTGACCAGATTTTGTCGATAATAATCAAAAAAGGGTTTTCTTTTAACCTCTGAGCTGCCTACATGCAAATATTCCTGTGACCTATGACTTCTTATTGAAGCTCAGTTCTAGCATAAAAGCCAAATGCACCTCATCACAAGCAAAGTTTATAGACTCTAACAGACAGAGCGTCGTGGAGGAATCCAGTCCATTCGGTAGGTAGATAGCAACGCTTCGTACTTGAATAACGGCGCTCTTCTCTTAAGTTCTACTGGCTTTACAATAATTCACCAAGAAAAATACTGTACATCAGGGGCACCTGTATACATGTAGTACTTCGAAAAGCCAGCCTGAGTAGGTAGTATAACAATATATTCGGTTTATCTCAAACACTCGACAAAGAAACATGTATACGTTATTTTAAATACATTAAGGTTTGGAGTGTTACTTTTGATGAAGCAATACTGATTCAAACTGAACTTCACGTTTGAAAGGTGTTTCGTTTCCAAACTTACGTCCAAGTTAAAGTCAAAGAAAGTGTAATGGCAGATTATTAGGGTTTACAAGTTGGTAGGGTTGATTGGGTCCCTGTACTCGTTTGAAAGCTGCGGTAACATGTTTGGATCAAGATTTCCTGATCAGGACTCGCACTTATCTTTATTACCTGTTAAAATTGCAATTAGTCTTTTCCACATGAAAACATTGAATTAAAAGTTTAAGAGCACAAAGAGAACTTAAGAAGAAAATTTTTCCAATCTGATTAAAAGATCTTCTGTCACTGGACTGATACTTAGGCGCGTGTGATAGTTTCATTTTCTTTTCCTCTTGTTTTCCGTTAAGCGATATTCTGTTCAGGACAAAATGTGCAATGTAATGCGAGGCAATCATCTTTAACTATGTCGACTTTTACGAGAAGCTGTCGATTACGGAGGGTTTGATGGTATTACCTTGTAATCACTACTTGTTCCTGTTCATTTAAGCATTTTCACTCTTGCTCCTGAGTTTCCGGTGGGTTTTAGGATTCGCAGCCGTCAGATATCATGTTACAAGTAGACTAAATCAAAGTGACAATGAGTCCAGCTCGTGGAGTTTAAGGGTTAAGGGAGGTTAAGGGAGGATCGTCACTTGTAATTCGACATTCAGTCAACTGGTGGCCAGTTGTCGACTAACTATTTGTGACATCGTGAACGCGTATCCATCAACAGCCCACCGGCAAGTCAACTTCGTGACGATGGTGAAAATATCAATATACCCAATTCTAGAGACAGTTGACATGGTAAAAATGTTAGTCAGACAAGGTCCTCGCCCTAGTCCCCAACCATTTTGGCTACTCTGAGTCGCTCCTTTAATTTTCAACCTTCCGTTAGCAATTCCCTATTTCTATATTCACGCAAAATTAGAACCTCAAATACATGATCTATTTTCAAATCGATGCCGAGATTTTGACACGGTAACCTAAAACGCTCAGTAACGTAACCTCGTTTTGAGATCATGACCAACATTCTGTGGTTTGACACACTGCTAGATATAGAACCGGTAGAGGTATAACGCTTTAAAGGTTTGGCATTAAGGAGTTCTGAGAAGTATGATTAACCTTTAACAAATACTATTAAAATTATTGTTATCATTATAATGAGTATCATTGCCAAACCAACTACTCTATGAGGAAGTGGATATGAAAACAAAATGCTTTTCAGTTAATTAATTTGAACCTGTCTTTGTTTCACAGATTTGTGCATTCTCACAAGCATTAAGTTAGAGGCGCTCTTTATGCAGGAAATCGTGTTTGTCTCCCTGCTACTGTTGCTTTGCGTGACCCTCGCATTTTCTGAAGCCACTAAAGCTACCACTAATGAATCAGAGGGACTCGGAAAGGTGGTTTACCTCCCGGATATAAACATATTAACCGACTTTCATGAAAAAGAGAATCGCATCTTTGAACCTCTACCATCAGAATGCTTCACCAAGGAACCCTTGATTTCCTTAAGCAGCAAATTCGATTACTATAAAAGTACCAAGGAATTGTATCAGTCACTGGCCACAGAGTCAAGCCTGAGCGCCTCGTTTACCTCTACGTTTACTTTGAGCACTACTGTATCAGCGGCAACAAAGAGAAAAAGCTCAGAGAAAATGGAAGTGGCATATCTTTGATCAAGGAGGCGTAGATAGAAAAGATTTAAGTCCACAAAGAATGCTAAGTGAAAGAAAAAAAGTCCACCCTGGTTGAAGATTTCCTGGACTATTTAGAGAACTTGCCATTAATGGTTGAGACACCTTGGTTTCACAATTCTTGGAAAGAATATCGTACTTTCCTAAATAAATATGGCTCCCATGTCATAACATCTGTGAAGCGCGGATCAAGGTTCCAGCAAATGGTCTTCGCAGAGAGCTCTGAATCGTATAGCGAGAGAGATTTCCAGATGAAAGCCTGTATCTCAGCTGCAGGTCCCACGCCTATCGGAAAACTTGACATTTCTGCTTGTTCTAACGGAACCAGCAGTAAAAGATCCAAGGCAAGCAAGATGAGTATTAGCGAGAAACGGTTCGCCAGGGAAGGATTGAGGGCAACAAGTGGCGAGCTGGCAAATGGAGAAACGTCAGCTGAACTGATTAAAAAACTTATAAAGGAAGCCGATGAGGCAACTTCACCTATCCAGTATACCTTCGTGCCGATCTCGAGCATATTACAAAGCCGCTTTAAACCAGGATCTAAGAATTACATCCGAGCAACAAACCTCGACTACTACAACGGTTTCTTAAATTATGGTTGTACCTACAAGAAAAAATCTAATCTGTTGAACTTCAAAAATTCGACTAAACCAGAAGATCAAAGAAGGAACGTCCAGAATTCGAATGTTCAATCGCAAAGGAAGGTTGCCATGGCGACAATGATTGTCACTACGTGCTTGGTGTCTGGTGCAATTGCGGAGGAAAAACGTGCGTTCGCCACAAGTCGGAGAAACAAATCCCCCCTTGTTCCAAGGAAACTGCATTTATGTACACGGCAAAATGGGACTGGAAAGGATGCAATTGGAAAGTCTTGGGGTCATGGTGTGGCTGCTACAACAAAGATTTCCATGAAAGGCACGTTGTGTGGTCCTTACCTGCCACCTCAAAAGATGTCGGTAAACATAAAGCACCTGGTAACAGAACCTACAACGAGGCAAGTGATCCTGTTACAGGTCAAGCGGAAGGAATGGCAACACCTTACACAGCTGAAGATGCTGCCAAGCTCATGGCGAAACATCCAATTCAAACCCAACTGAAGGAAGAGGAAATTTAATCCATCTCTTATATCGCATGTAATCACAAAAATGGGAAGCGCCTAGTTCAGTTATAAAGGAAAAAAATTTGGTGTTATATAAGAGTTGGTCATTCGATCGGGGATGGACAGCTGTACTTGAAACATTTCGCGATCAGTTAGGTAGAATGTTAAAATACAAATTCAGTTAAAGTGTTCAAATAAAGGAGAGCGCATCCACGGGAGTCAAACTCATTATTGTCGAGGGGAAAGGGAAGGGATTACATATAGTAAACATTTTCAAAAATAGAACGGTTCGTTTCCATTCTGAGTCCCCAAGAGGAATCGATCCTCAGACCTTCGGATTCCGCGCTTCGATGCTCTACTGTGAGCGAGGTCTATTACGAAGTTCATATGACACGCGTCCTGCATACTGCTAGGATCAGCAATGTTGATAGCAACATGTCTGTAAATAGAATAAGACAAATGGGAAGTTTTGAGCTCAGTAAAGGATTTTTTTTTGTCCCACGCTGGTGACAAGACGAAAAACGTCTAAAAAAAAAAAAAGGAAAAAAAATCTCTTACTTAAATGTAGTTTAAAAGTTTCTCTTGTTTTTAACCTTTTTATCACTATTTCCTACCATGGAAACTATATATCAATGTAAGTCTTTATAAAGTACGGATAACAATTAACAAAAATTCCCAAAGGTTTTGTTTTGGTTGACGCATGCGAGCCTCTAAACACACAAAACTTTCTAAAGGTGTCTCCTTTATCGAATTACCAGCTTCCGCGTTCCTGCGGTCCTCCAAAAAATCACGGGACAGTATCAGGAACCAGATAATAGGCTAACAAAATGTTTGATGCTCTTTTGATATTATTTTTGGCTACTGAGAAATTCATTTTTAAGCTGGACAATACAAAATATTTTGGTTCTTGTTACCCTCCGGGACGTCACATGAGAAATATTTCGAATTTCGTAAAAGCCTCAAATACTTTGGTGTGTTAATATCTGACGAAAATTCTGGCCAATTTCTATGAATATCTAACATACCCTATTAACTCGTTAAAGAAGTAGTAACTGGCGTAAAAAAAAAAAAAAACCTCGAGTTTTCGACCTCCACAGAAATTCACAGTTTCGCGCCTTATTCCTAAAAGCGCCTGTCAATGCGGTCATGCTGCCGACCAATGAAACGCAACATCGAAATCCTGGCAAGTCTCGTGAAAAAGAACTCCTTTGAAATTCGCGGGAAAGGTCAGAACGGGAAAAACAGAACGAAAAGTGGACAAAGGAAGCGCGGGAAGAAGAAAAACCTAACTTAGATTTCTTAGGCCTAGGTTCTTTCGCGACTATTCTCTTTTTGGCTGTTTTAGGAATGCTCTTAATACTAAACGTTTAGCGAAATGTGTCCGAAATTCCCTTTGGTTGTACAATGCTTAAGCAATGTAAATGAAATATGTAAATCGACATCCCAGAAGATACCCCGAGGAAAATGTCAGCACCCTGCTGGAGGCCTTTCCAATAATGACACCTTTCGCTCTACGGTACAGATTCACTAGTTCTTTCAGCTATATCTCGTGTTGTTTTAAAGGTTTTGTCATTTCTTCGACAAATTAAACTGAACTGCTTTCTCCGACTTAAGAGCAAGAACACCAAATTTTAAAAAAATTTGACCAGATTTTGTCGACAAGAACCTAAAAAAGAGTTTTCTTTCAACCTCTGAGCTTCCCACATGGAAATATTCCTGTGACCTATGACTTCCAAATGAAGCTCAGTTCTATCATAAAAGCCAAACACATCTCATCACATGCAAAGTTTACAGACTCTAACAGACAGAGCGTCCTGGAGTAATCCACTCCATTCAGTAACTAGACAGCAACGCTACATACTTGAATAACAGCGCTCTTGCCTTAAGTTCCCTTTGGTTGTACAATGCACTACGCGATGTAAATAAAATATGCAAATCGTGATCCAAAACGAAACCCCGCGGAAAACGTCAACACCCCGCTGGAGGTCTTTCCGATAACGACACCTTTCGCTCTACGGTACAGGTTCCTTTGTTCTTTCAGCCGTATCTCGCGTTCTTTTAAAGATTTTGCCATTTTTTCGAAAAATTAAACCTTAGGGCTTTCTCCGACTATACAACAAAAAGATCGAAAATTTTAAAAATTTGACCAGATTTTGTCAACAATAATCTAAAAAAAGTCTTCTTTCAACCAAATATTCCTGTGACCTATGACTTCTAAATGAAACTCAGTTCTATCATAAAAGCCAAACACATCTCATCACATGCAAAGTTTACAGACTCTGACAGACCGAGTATCCTAGAGGAATCGACTCCAATCGTTAGGCAGATAGCAACGTTGCATACTAGAATAACGACGCTCTTGTCTTACGTTCTACCGGCTTTACAACAATTCACTAAGAAAAATAATATAGATGAAGTATTTCGAAAACCCAGCCTGAGTAGGTAGTGTAACGATACATTCGGCTTATCTCAAATACTTCAAAAATCATGTATACGTTGTTTTAAATACATGTAGGTTTGAATGCTCTATTCAAAGTAGTAATTCTTGGAGTGTTACTTCCGTTGAAGAAATACTGATTCAAACTGATCATCAGGTTTGTAACGTGTTTCATTACCAAATTCACGTCCAAGTTAAAGTCAAAGAAAGTGCAACGACAGATTATTAGAGTTTACAGGTTGATAGGGTTGATAGGGTCCCGGTACTCCTTTGAAAGCTGCGGTATCATGTTTGAATCAAGACTTCCTGATCAGGACTCGCAGTTATCTGTATTTCGCGTTAAAATTGCTCTTAGTCTTTTTCTCCTTAAAAAAAATTGAATCCAAAGTTTTACAGCACAAAGAGAACTTGAGAAGAAAATTTCGCGACAGCAGAGATAAGGGTCGCAGGTAATTCAGAAAGCTCGCGTTCTGGAACAGTCATTTTTCCCAATCTGATCAAAAGATCTTCTGTCACTAGCCTGGTACTTGAGCGCGCGTGATAGTTTCATTTTCTTTACTTCTGGTTTTCCATTGGGCGGTATTCTGTTCGGGACAAAATGTGCAATGTAATGTGAGGCAATCATTTTTAACGAAGTCGCCTTTTTTGAGAAGCTGTCGATTACGGAGGGTTTGATAGGATTACCATATAATCACTACTTGTTCCTGTTCATTTAAGCATTTTCACTTTTGCGTCTGAGTTTCCAGTGGGCTTTAGAATTCGCTGCAGTCAGATATCATGTCACAAGTAAACTAAATCAAGTGACAATGAGTCCAGCTCGTGGAGTTTCACTCGTTGTCCGTATTTTTCATTTTACCTGATAACGTCTTAGCTTGCACGATGAAAATGACATTTAAATCCTACCCCTCTGAAAATAAGTAAGCTGTTAACCCTTTAACTCCCAAGATCACATTGTTAATTCTCTCTTCAAGCTGCTGCACGTTTCCTTGTAAATAAGTTACAAGAGTATTGGTGCTAGATCAAGATTAAAACTTCTACCTGAAACGTTTGAGACTTCTCATTACCTGATTCCTGGATATTGTATGGATATTATGGAGAGAAGTTACATGTAAATCACTTCTGGGGGTTAAAGGGTTAAGGGAGGATCGTCACTCGTAATTCGACATTCAGTCAACTGGTGGCCAGTTGTCGACTAACTTTTTGTGTGATAGTGAACGGGTATCCATCAACAGCCCACCGGCAAGTCAACTTTGTGATGATGGTGAAAATAACAATATGCCCAATTCTAGACACAGTTGATGAGGTAAAAATGTTAGTCGGACAAGGTCCTCGCCCTAGTCTCCCAACCATTTTGGCTACTCTGAGTCGCTCCTTTAATTTTCAACCTTCCGTTATCAATTCCCTATTTCTAAATGCCCGCTAAATTAGAACCTCAAACACATGCTCTATTTTCAAATCGATGACGAGATTTTAACACAGTAACCTCAAACGCTCAATAACCTAACCTCGTTTTGAGATCATGACAAACATTCAGTGCTTTGATACACTGCTGGATATAGAACCGGTAGAGGTATAACGCTTTAAAGGTTTGGCATTAAAGAGTCCTGGGAAGTATGATTAACCCTTTAACAACTACTATTAAAATTATTGTTCACATTATTACGAGTACCAATTCCAAATCAACTACTCTATAAGGAAGTGGATATGAAAAACAAAATGCTTTTCAGTTAATTAATTTAAATTTGTCTTTGTTTCACAGATTTTGTGCCTTCTCACAAGCATTAAGGTAGAGACGCTCTTTATGCAGGAAATCATGTTTGTCTCCCTGCTACTGTTGCTTTGCGTGACCCTAACATTTTATGAAGCCAGTCAAGCCACCGATAGTGAATCAGATGGATTCGGAAAGGTGGTTTACCTTCCGAAGATAAACTTATTGACCGACTCTCGTCAAGAAAAGAATCGCATGTTTGATCTTTTATAATCAGAATGCTTCACCGAGATACCCTTGAAGTCGTCAAGGAATTGTATCAGTCACTGGCCACTGAGTCAAGCCTGAGCGCCTCGTTAACTTCTACGCTTACTTTGAGCACTACTATATCGGCGGCAACAAAGAGAAAAATCTCGGAGAAAACGGAAGTAAGTGGAATATCTTTGATCAAGCAGGCGTTGATAGAAATGATTTACGTCGACAAAGAATGCCTTGCCAAGGACAAAAAGTCCACACTCAAAAGAGGATTCCTCGACTATTTAGAGAACTCGCCTTATCGTACTTTCATGGATAAATATGGCTCCCATGTCATAACATCTGTGCAGTACGGATCAAGGTTCTATCAAATGGTGCTCGCAGAGAGCTCTCAATCGTATAGCGAGAGAGATTTCCAGATGAAAGCCTGTATCTCAGCTGCAGGTCCCACGCCTATTGGAAAACTTGACATTTCTGCTTGTTCTAACGGAACCAGCAGTAAAAGATCCAAGGCAAGCAAGATGAGTATTAGCGAGAAACGGTTCGCCAGGGAAGGATTGAGGGCAACAAGTGGCGAGCTGGCAAATGGAGAAACGTCAGCTGAACTGATTAAAAAACTTATAAAGGAAGCCGATGAGGCAACTTCACCTATCCAGTATACCTTCATGCCGATCTCGAGCATACTACAAAGCCGCTTTAAACCAGGATCTATGAATTACATCCGAGCAACAAACCTCGAGTACTACTACAACGGTTTCTTCAATTATGGTTGTCATTACGTGGTTGGTGTCTGGTGCAATTGCAGGGGAAAAACGTGCGTTCGCCACAAGTCGGAGAAACAAATCGCCCCTAGTTCCAAGGAAACTGCATTTATGAACACGGCAAAATGGGACTGGAAAGGATGCAATTGGAAAGTCTTGGGGTCATGGTGTGGCTGCTACAACAAAGATTTCCATGAAACGCACGTTGTGTAGTCCTTACCTGGCGCTTCAAAAGATGTTGGTAAACGTAAAGCACCTGGTAACAGATCCTACAACGAGGCAATTGATCCTGTTACAGGTCAAGCAGCAGGAATAACAACACCCTACACAGCTAAAGATGCTGCCGAGCTCATGGCGAAACATCCAATTCAAACCCAACTGAAGGAAGAGGAAGAGGAAGAGGAAATTTAGTGTTTCCTATATCACATGTAATCATTAAAATGGGAAGCGCCTAATTAAGTTATAAAGAAAAAAAAATCTGGTCGTAAACAACAATTGGCCATTCGATCAGAGATGGACAGCTGCAATTGAAACATTTCGTGATCAGTTAGGTGGAATGTTAAAATACAAGTCCAGTTAGAGTGTTCAAATAAAGGAGAGCGCATCCACGGCAGTCAAACTCATTATTGTCGAGAGGAAAGGGAAGGGATTACATATAGCAAACATTTTCAAAGATGGAACTGTTGCTGGTACAATTTGTGTGGCTACGTTAATTTCTGGTGAACACTGAATTAACAAACTGTTTCGTTCATTGACCCGGAGTTTAAAAGACCTGATATACAAATTTAGTCACAAACACTTCAAGCAATACACAACCTCCTTAGGTTCCATTTTGAGTCCACATGAGGAATCGAACCTCAAACCTCCGGATTCCGCGCTCCAATGTAATACCACTGAGCCAAACAGACTCTACGGTGAGCGAGGTCTATTACGAAGTTCATATAATACGCGTCCTGGATACTGCTAGGATCGGTAATGTCGATAGCGTCATGTTTGTAAATAGAATAAGACAGATAGTAAGTTTTCAGCTCGGTAAGGGGTTTTTTTCTTTGTCCCATGCTGGTGACAAGACGAAAAACATCTTTAACTAACTTATATGTAGTTTAAATGTTTCTTCTTATAACCTTTTTATCACTATTTTCTTTACGTTTTGACTATTAAACTTTTAATAACCAACGGTCCACACCATCTGTTGCCTATAAGGATCCGCTGATTCGTCTTCAAGTTTAAACAAAGCTTCTATTACCATTATCACAGTTTTCATCCTTGTAATCATTATTAGTATCATCATCATCACTGTGACTATCATCATTATCATCATCATAATGAGCATAGACTTGGACTCGAAAAAAAGAACTTATCTTCGATATTTTAGGCCTAGGCTCTCTCGCGACTATTCTCTGTCTGGCTGTTTTATAAATGTTCTTAATAGTAAACATTTAGCGAAATGTGCCCGAAATTCCCCTTGGTTGTACGATGCAATACGTGATGTAAATAAAATATGCAAATCGAAATCCAAGACGAAACCCCGCGGAAAACGTCAGCACCCCGCTGGAGGCCTTTCCGATTATGACACCTTTCGCTCTACGGTACAGGTTCCATTGTTCTTTCAGCCGTATCTCGCGTTCTTTTAAAGATTTATTCATTTTCTCGACAAATTAAACTTAACTGCTTTCCTCAACTAAAGAGAATGAAAACCAAATTATACGAAAATTTGACCAGATTTTGTCGACAATAACCTAAAATGAATTTTGTTTCAACCTCTGAGCTGCCCACATGCAAATATCCCTGTGACCTATGACTTCTAAATGAAGCTCAGATCCAGCATAAAAACCAAACAAATCTCATCACAGTTTACAGACTCTAACAGACAAAGCATCCTGAAGAAATCGACTCCATTCGGTAAGTAGATAGCAACGCTACATACTTGAATAACGGCGCTCTCGTCTTAAGTTCCATTTGGTTGTACAATGCGATACGCGATGTAAATAAGATATACAAATCGAGATCCCAGACGAAACCCCGCGGAAAACGTCAACACCCTGCTGGAGGCCTTTCCCATCATGACACCTTTCGCTCTACAGTACCAGTTCCCTTGTTCTTTCAGCCGTATATCGCGTTCTTTTAAAGATTTTCTCATTTTTTCGATACATTAAACTTAACTGCTTTCCCCGATTAAACAACAATCGAAATTTTGAAAAGTTTGACCCTATTTTGTCTGCAATAACACAAAAAGATTTTTCTTTCAACCCATGAGCTGCCTACATGCAAATATTCCTGTGACCTGTGCCTTCTTAATGAAGCTCAGCTCTAGCATAAAAGCCAAACGCATCTCATCGTATGCAAAGTTTTCAGACTCTAACAGACAGAGCGTCCTGGAGGAATCCACTCCAATCGATAGATAGATAGCAACGCTACATACTTGAATAACGGCGCCCTTGTCTTAAGTTTTACCAGCTTTACAGTGATTCACTAAGAAAAAATACTATACATCAGGGGCTCCTCTATACATGAAGTATTTCGAAAAGCCAGCCTGAGTAGGTAGTATAACAATATATATTCGGCTTATCTCAAATACTTAAAAAGGAAAAAGTATACGTTGTTTTAAATACATGTAGGTTTGAGTGCTCTATTCAAAGTTGTAATTCTTGGAGTGTTACCTCCGATGAAGCAACACTGATTCAAACTGAACACCACGTTTGTAAGGTGTTTCCTTTCCAAATTTACGTCCAAATTAAAGTCAAAGAAAGTGCAATGGCAGACTATTAGGGTTTACAAGTTGATAAGGGTTAATCGAGATCCCAGACGAAACCCCGCGGAAAACGTCAACACCCTGCTGAAGGCCTTTCCGATAGTGACACCTTTCGCTCTACGGTACAGGTTGCCTCGTTCCTACAGTCATATTTGGCGCTCTTTTAAAGATTTTGTCATTTTTTCGACAAATTAAACTTAATTGCTTTCTCCGACTAAAGAGCAAGAACACCAAATTTTAAAAGAATTCGACCAGATTTTGTCGACAATAACCTAAAAAGAGTTTTCTTTCAACCTCTGAGCTGCCCACATGCAAATATTCCTGTGACCTATGACTTCTTAATGAGGCTCAGTTCTATCATGAAAGCCAAAGGCATCTCGTCACATCGTCACATGCAAAGTTCACAGAATCGAACAGGAAGAGCGTTCTGGAGGAATCGACTCCATTCAGTAGGTAGATATCAACGCTACAAACTTGAATAACATCGCTCTCGTCATAAGTTCCATTTGGGTTTACGATACAATTCGCGATGTAAATAAAATACGCAAATCGAGATCCCAGACGAAACCCCGCGGAAAACGTCAACACCCTGCTGGAGGCCTTTCCGATAATGACACCTTTTGCTCTACGATACAGGTTGCCTTGTTCTTTCAGCCATATATCGCGTTCTTTTAAAGATTTTGCCATTTTTTGAACAAATTAAACTTAACTGCTTTCTCCGACTATATGACAAAAAGATCGAAGTTTTGACAAGTTTGACCAGATTTTGTCGACAATAACCTAAAAAGAATTTTCTTTCAACCTCTGAGCTGCCTACATGCAAATATTCCTATGACCTAAGACTTCTAAATGAAGCTCAGTTCTAGCATAAAAGCCAGACGCATCTCACCAGATGCAAAGTTTACAGAATCTAATAGCCAGAGCGCCCTAGTGAAAAAGACTCCATTCGGTAAGTAGATAGCAACGTTACATACTTGAATAACGGCGCTCTTGTCTTAAGTTCTACGGCTTTACAATAATTCACAAAGAAAAAATAATATACATCAGGGGCACCTGTATACATGTAGTATTTCGAAAAGCCAGCCTGAGTAGGTAGTATAACAATACAGTTGGCTTAACACAACTACTTAAAAAAGAAAGTTATTTACGTTGTTTTAAATACATGCAAGTTTGAGTGTTCCATTCAAAATTGTAATTCTTGGAGTGTGACTTCTGATGAAGCAATACTGATTCAAACTGAACATCACGTTTAAAAGGTGTTTCCTTTCCAAATTTAAGTCCAAGTTTAAGTCAAAGAAAGTGCAATGGCAGATTATTAAGGATTAAAAAATGATGGTATTACCATATAATCGCTACTTGTTTCTGCTCATTTAAGCATTTTCACTTTTGCGTCCGAGTTTCCGGTGGGTTTTAGGATTCGCTGCAGTCAGATATCATGTCACAAGTAAACTAAATCAGAGCCGAGCTCGTGGAGTTTCACTCGTTGTCCGTACTTTTCATTTTACGTACAATAAGTAAGCTGTTAACCCTTTAACTCCCAAGATCAAATCGTTAATTCTCTCTCATGGCTGCTACACGTTTCCTTGTAAATAAGTTACGAGAGTTTTGGTGTTAGATCAAGATTAAAACTTCTACGTGAAACGTTTAAGATTTCTCATTACCTGTTTCCTGAATATTGTATGGATATTACTTTAGGGTTTAAAGGGTTAAGGGAGGATCGTCACTTGTAATTTGACATTCAGTCAACTGGCCAGTTGTCGACTAACTTTTTGTGTGATAGTGAACGGGTATCCATCAACAGCCTACCGGCTCTTCGTGATAAAAGGTGAAAATATCAATATGCCCAATTCTCGACACAGTTGATATAATAAAAATGTTAGTCAGAAAAGGTCCTCGCCCTAGTCTCCCAACCATTTTGGCTACTCTGAATCGCTCCTGTAATTTTCAACCTTTCGTTATCAATTCCCTATTTCTATATGCCCGCAAAACTAGAACCTCAAATACACGGTCTATTTTCAAATCGATGCCGATATTTTCACACAGTAACCTAAAACGCTCAGTAATGTAACCTGGTTTGATTCGGTGGTTTGACACACTGCTGGATATAGAACCAGTAGAGGTATAACGCCTTAAAGGTTTGGCATTAAAGAGTTCTGGGAAGTATGATTAACTCTTAAGCAATTACTGTTAAAATCAATGTTATCATTATTACGAGTATCACTGCCAAACTAACTACTCTATAAGGAAGTGCATATGAAAACAAAATGCTTTTTAGTTAATTAATTTAAACCTGTCTTTGTTTCACAGATTTCGTGCCTTATCACAAGCATCAAGGTAGAGACACTCTTTATGCAGGAAATCATGTTTGTCTCCCTGCTACTGTTGCTTTGCGTGACCCTCGCAATTCCTGAAGCCAGTCAAGCTACCGATAGTGAATCAGAGGGACTCGGAAAGGTTGTTTACCTTCCGAAGATAAACTTATTGGCCGACTTTCATGAAAAAGAGAATCGCATCTTTGAACCTCTACCATCAGAATGCTTCACCAAGAAACCCTTGAAGTCCTCAAGCAGCAAATTCGATTACTATAAAAGTACCAAGGAATTGTATAAGTCACTGGCCACCGAGTCAAGCCTGAGCGCCTCGTTAACCTCGACGTTTACTTTGAGCGCTACTGTATCAGTGGCAACAAAGAGCAAAAGCTCATTGAAAACAGAAGTGAGTGGCATATCTTTGATCAAGGAGGCGTTGACAGAAAAGATTTACGTCGATAAAGAATGCCTTGTGAATGCCAAAAAATCCACCCTCGATGGAGGTTTTCTGGACTATTTAGAAAACCTGCCATTAAGAATTGAAAAGCCTTGGTTTCACAATTCTTGGAGAGCATATCGTACTTTCCTAGATAAATATGGCTCCCATGTCATAACATCTATGAAGCGCGGATCAAGGTTCCAGCAAATGGTCTTCGCAGAGAGCTCTCAATCGTATAGCGAAAGAGATTTCCAGGTGAAAGCATGTGTCTCGGCTGCAGGTCCCACGTCTGTTGGAAAGCTTGGCGTTTCTGCTTGTTCTAAAATAGGCAGCAATGAAATGTCAAAGGCAAGCAAGATGAGTGTTAGCGAGACACGGTTCGTCAGGGGAGGACTAAGGGCAACAAATAGCGAGCTGGCAAATGGAGAAACGTCAGCTGAACTGATTATAAAACTTATGAATGAAGCTGATGAGGCACCTTCGCCTGTCCAGCATACCTTCATGCCGATTTCGCGCATATTACAAAGCCGCTTTAAACCAGGATCTAAGAATTACATCCGAGCAACAAACCTCGAGTACTACTACAACGGTTACTTAAATTACGGTTGTACCTACAAGTCACTCAATGGTGTCGAACTTCAAAAATTCGACTATGCCAAAGGATCAAAGGAAGAATATCCAGAATTCGAATGTTCTATCCCAAAGGAAGGTTGTCATAGCGACAATGACTGTTACTACATGGTTGGTGTCTGGTGCAATTGCGGGGGAAGAACATGCGTTCGTCACAAGTCGGAGAAACAAATCCTAGGTAGTTCCAAGGAAACTGCATATATGAACACGGCAACATGGGACTGGAAAGGATGCGATTGGAAAGTCTGGGGGTCGGTATGTGCTTGCTACAACAAAGATCGCAATGAAAGGCAGACTGTGTGGTCCTTAGCTACCAGTTCCAAAGATGCTGGTAAACATAAAGCACCTGGCAACACAACCTACGACGAGGCAGTTGATTCTGTTACAGGTCAAGCGGAAAGAATGGCAACACCTAACACAGCCGAAGATGCTGCCGAGCACATGGCGAAACATCCAATTGAAACCCAACTGAAGGAAGAGGAAGAGGAAATTTAATGTCTCTTATATCACATGTAATCACTTAAATGGGAAGCGCCTAATTAAGTTATAGAGAAAAAAAATCTGGTCTTAAACAACAGTTGGCCATCCGATCAGGGATGGACAGCTGCAATTGAAACATTTCGCGATCAGTTAGGTGGAATGTTAAAATACAAGTCCAGTTAGAGTGTTCAAATAAAGGAGAGCGCATCCACGGCAGTCAAACTCATTATTGTCGAGGGAAGGGAAGGGATTACATATAGTAAACATTTTCAAAAATAGAACTGTTGCTGATACAATTTCTGTGGCTATGTTAATTTCTGGTGAACACTGAATTAACAAACTGTTTCGTTCATTGACCCCGAAGTTAAAAAGACATGATATACAAATTTAGTCACAATCGCCTCAAGCGATACACAATTTTCGTTTCCATTCATGACTTTAGCTGGGGTGAAATAGTATAGCGAAATAGAGAACAAGCAACGAGCAGGGGTGTAGTGCTAGCTAACCATTAAGAAAAAAGCGCAGGGCGGAACAACTTGTGTGTGGGGACCATAACAGCTAAAGCCAGTGAGAGTTGCGCGTTTAAAATTGTTAGAGGACATTTCGGCCGTCAGTAATTTTCCTCGATTTTACACGTTTCTCAGCAGTATCGATAATGATATCTTCTTGGCTAAAATAACCTTTAGAGAATTCAAAGAGTAGTTCTCAACATCGATGTATTGTCAATGGCTCCCTGATGTCGGCTAACGGGCAGACAACTCAAGCAGTTCGAGGCTACGTGATGTCAATTATTATTTGATACGGTTATTGATCTCTTAATCGACTAGAGCCGATTTTGGCTAGATTAATTTTATCACGAGAAATGTTCCAGTAATAGTGTAATTTGCGACCTTTAGTGATCCCCTGAATCTGTACTATAGAACAAGCTCGCTCACCTTTCATTCTTGTGTTGTGTCCATTGATGTTAGGGGGCTGGTTTCCCTTTCTTGACAGACGCTTTACCAAATTTTTTTGATTTTCATTGAATCTGATTCTCCCTGAAGAATACAATGTCTCTTTTCAATCTGTGGAACAATTGCCTTTGCCTCTTGAACATCATTTCACTAAAAAATGGATCAAATATAAACTCAATCTGCATACACTGGAAGTTCCCCAGTATTCAAAGGGCATGCATATGTCCACACTCTGATATAGTGGTGTTTTTACCATTATCAACACACCCCTATTACAAAAAGTGACCGAGCCCAGTAGCTGTCAATTGACATTTCACTGACACTTGACACTAATTTTCACTCTACATTACCATCAGGACAATATTTAAACCTTTTACATCCTAGCATCAGTATTCTCTGCACTGTTTTCTGTACATTTCCTATGATGCTCCATGCTCCTGGGGGGTGGGGGGATAGGTTAAATGTGAAGGACAATAGCATGCAAAAAAAAGAAAAAAGCCAATATTTCAAGGGTTATTACTGCCCAAGAGTCATATGTTGCGTGGAAGGAAACAAAAAAATTTCTACTACACAAGTAGGACACTTTACTTCTAGACAATGGGAAATGTATGGAAACCATCTTGGTACTAGAAAGCATGATAAGTTTCATCCAAATGGCCCCTCAGGTCACATGTTCACTTTAATGTCTACACTTTATAATGGTAATAGGACTGAAAAAATTGTTTATTCCAAATTGCACGAGAAAAATCATGTGATTACGTGTAAATAATATACATGGAAAAATACGAGATGGCTTATCATAATTAAGCATTAGCAAAGCGCGCGCATCAAGTGCAAAAATAATTTATTCAAACCGTGCGTTCGGTCAAAACAACCGCGTAAGATCAAAACAATAATATGCAATGATATCTTCACATCTTTAAGGGGCAAAAAAGTTCAAAGTCCGGCTAAACAGTTCAAGGAATTGTTCAGTCTGTGTCCAAATCACTTGCGATGAAATGGAGACGTCGTTTCCGAGGTTTGTTTTTAATTCCGGCGTTGGATCGCTCGAGCAAAGTGTTAAGCTGAGTCGACTCGTAATTTTCGATTTCCTTGGCAATTCCCTTCGCTAAACACCACTTTTTCCAAACCGACAACCAAAAAGCAGTGCTTTTTACAGTTTTTTCGTTGTTTGAGCTATTTTTCAGCTGCGGTGGCGAAAGAAAACCTACTTAAAACGCCGGCCATTGTTTTGCTAGCAAATTTTCAAATTTTGGTGCGACATTCAAGGCTCGCATTTGATTGGCTATCTGTGAGTTTCTTTGATTATTGACCGATCAGAATGTCTCATTTGTTACTTTCTTTGCAGTGAATTAATCTTCTTCTGCACTGAATTAACTCTCTTCTGCACTGAATTACCTGAAAACTGCATTTATCTTAACGAATCAGAACTGAGAAAATTTTCCATGTATATTATTAGGTCTGTAATCACAAAAGTAATTAAGAAAATCAGACAACCGCTGAGCAGGAGTCTGATTCGTCAATTGCGAATACAATTACAGACTCAATTTGACGAGTCCTGTTGCCAATTAATCATAATTGTTACAATTTTCTGAAAACACGAAATACATTTAGGAGAAATAAGTGCAGTAGAGACAATGTCGAAGCAAAAAATTCTTCAACTTTAGAAATTCCACAAATTTTTTAGGATTGTGAAGTGTTTGTTGCTATGTCTATTGTGATAAATTCTGTGATTGGTGGATTTGACTGAAAGGACTAAAATTTGATTGGCTGCTTAAACTGTCTGATTACAGCCAACTGTCCGATTACAACTCTACAGAATGATAAGTGAAAAAAAAAGTAGCTAATGCACCAATCATATTTGAGGAAATTGTCATGGTTATGATTAAACTTGTTACCATGGCACAAATAGAAAACACCCTCACTGAATTACATAGATCAAACAAAAATTACCAGTCCCTCTTTGATACCAGTGAGGTCATGGCACTTGTTTTTGACCCATGAGGAGAAATGAAACATGCTGTACCCCCAACATGAGTGAGATAGTTCTGGTTGAACCTTAAACTGAGTATTATTCTGCTCAGGATTTGATTATCCTTAAATTGCCTTGCAATAATGAAATCTAAAATTGATGAGAAGAATATGTAAAAAATACCAGTCTGTCTTTGTTACTGATGAACATGAGAATATTAAACATATTTTCGCTTCTCTTTTACAAAAACAACCCTGACTACATTTAAGAAGAGCTATAAGATGCTTGGCCACCAGTAATCTATGTCTAACATCTATCATTTCGGTACAATGACTGATTCGCTTGTCACTCACAGTCTCACTCAAATTATATGCTAAGTAATTGTTGAATCACAGAAACCAGATTCTCAAGACAAGCAAAAAAGTTCACAACCACACCATAAATAATCTTAAGATTAAAAAAATTTTGAGTGAGACTTGTTTAAGATCATAACTTATTGAAACTACTGTTAAAGAGTTGAATTTTTCTTCAACTTTCTTTGAAAAGTAAAAAATATATATGTTATTCACCAGATGGGAGGTCTGTATTAGGAAAGACAGTGCCTGAGGTCTTGGATACCACCCAAGGCCAAAGGCTGAGGGCAGCACACAAGATAGAGGGCACAGTTTTTCCCAATGTGGACTGGCCTTGGCTGGTGGATAACATTTTCATTTTTTTTCTATAACCTGATTTCTATTTCCCTGATTGAGCAAGTTCTGTGCAGCTCTGCAAATAATTCCATGACTACAAATGATCCAAAATAGGATGCACAAGTCTTTTACCCAAACCAGCCCCTTGTCCATGCCTGAATCGGAGCTAACAAGTTTGCAGCTAGAAAATTTTTCAGTGAAGTCTAAACTAGTGCTTATCAGCTAAAAATGACTTCACATGTATTAGATCTTTGGAGTTCTACCACACTCTGTCAACTGATCTCCAACTAAAGCAGTTAAAGAGGGGAAAAACTTATCCCATGTGCTAGGATAACCCTATTAACCTTTTAACTCCCATGAGTGACCAAGACAGAATTTCTCCTTACTACATCTATACAATATCAATTATGGGATTACTGATTGATCCCATACTAAATTCTCCAAACTAACTTAATAAGAATAATTTAGCAGACAATAAGGTGAATTACTAATGAGATCTTGGGAGTTAAAGGGTTAAATGCCCAGGTAACTTTGGCTGTCTTGTCAGTACCTTTGCTGCTACTATAACAATATTAATTATTGTTCACCAAAGTGAGGGAAAATATCCTCCACTTTCCCTGGTACTAGGGTGAATAATTGTTTTAGTACATACCATTGAAGCTGGATTACAACAGACTAAGATATAATATCATTTTTTTCAAATGCTTATACAGTTTAAAATTCCACAAGCTACACTCTCCATAGGTCTAAGCAAGCTCTCTCTTTGTACAGAAAGAACTTTCCTTTACTAGGTTATGTCCCTTTATGGTTGACAAATAAAAATCTTAAAGTTTTTAACTTGTTTGGGTGTAATTTGTTTAGTTAGTGTTAGAAAATCATCTTGTTGTTGATCATTTTGATGGTCTGGAAAGCATTTAGTTCATTACATTGTAAATATAGCCTGTACTCTTTAGTTCTCATTCAAGGCACTGGACTTTTAAATTTTGTCTTAAAATTATAATTTGGAGCTATCAACATACCTACTTTGAAAGTCTATTGAAACAAATTACCAATCATTTTTTGTTCTTAGTGCAACTTCCACTTTTACTGGTGAAATTTCCTCTCCTGGGTCTCAAGAAAAAAAGGAAGCCAGTTTGTTTTTCTTTGGTGGCTATGAGGTGAGTATCTCTAGGCTTATCACCTCCAAGCAAGCCAACCAGCATGTTCAAACAGACTATTTGCTTCAAAAGAGAAAAATAATAGTTTGTCTCACAATGTGGTCACTTTGGATGTGGATTGCGATGTTTCAACTGCATACTGCCTGACTTCTTCAGGTGATGAGGTTGATTGAGTATGCATCATCTAATTATATGCTGTTGTTCTCAGCTGTGATTGGTACATCGTTTGGATCAGTTTCCCCTCTGTGGTCTGCTGCCAAAAGGCTCTCCTGCTGTTGTGTGCTTTTGTCCCTGTTGATGTTGCCGGCTAGGGTGAAGTCATAGGTGAATTGCCTCTTTTACCCTGCATGTATAGAAATGGGGATACAGTCAAGAAACTTTACTTTAATTCCAGAAAGGTGGCATCTGGCATTATGGGCATGCTATGAGATGGCTGAGGCCTGCATTTTAATGAGTTGGATATCCCTTTTGTGTGCCTTGATTCTCTCCTGCATAGGTCTGCCGGTTTTACCAATGTAAACCTAATCCCACACTCACAGGGAATCCTGTGAATCCTGCATTATAAGTCTACAGGATTTCCTGTAAGTGCAATAAGGTTAACATCAGTGAAACTGGTAGATCAATGTAGGAGAGAATCAAGGAGCTTGACAGGCATATCCCACTTGCAAAGGCATAGACCACTGTCACCCAGGAGCATGCCTACAACACCAGAAACTGCCTGCTCTGGAATGAAAATAAAGTTTATTGATTGTGATCCCCATTTCTACACATGCAGGGTAAAAGAGGCAATTCACATAACACCTCACTCTAAAAACATCAAAAAGGATAATGGAATTGAAATCCCAGAGGCCTAGAAGCTAACTATCCAAAAACACAACAGCAGTATAGAGCCATGTGACAGAGGACCTCAGAGGGAAACTGATCTGAAAGCTGCACCAATCACCGCTGTGGAATTCAATCCAATCACTGCTAAACACAACAGCATATAGGAGATGCATACTTGATTGACCTCATTTCCTGAAGAAGACTAGCAGTATGCAGTCAAGATATCACAATCCACATTCAAAGTGACCATATCATGAGAGAAACGATTATATTTTTCTTTTGAAGTGTTATTTACCAGGATGAATAACCATCATCTATTTTACTACATACAATATTTGCTTATTTGGCTTATGTACAAGAAGGAAATATATGAATGCTAACAGAGCAGTCATTAATACCTTGCACCACAGAAATGTTTTTCTCATCTATTGTTTAAGTGATAAAACAATCCATTGAGCAACTTGCAGCACAACATGGTGTTTCAAACACATAGCTCACTTTTACGAAAGGCTTAAAGCAAAATAGCAATTCAACAGAAATTCTTCTTTTCCCTACTTTTACCTCTTTCACAAATTTCAATGAACTATTCAGTATTTTATACAAATTTTGACCGATACTTATTTATGTGTGTTATTATGAAAAATTTGCATGGGAAATCTGTGTCCCTGGCCAAAATTTAGCTCTCTTTTCCATGAAAAATGTTTGAAATCTGTACTAAAAATGCTAGAGGAACCCTAATGCAGTTATCACTGTACACAGCCTCGATTGTAAACAATCAATCATGGAATAACCAGATACCATTTCCGAGAAAATGAGGTGGCGCAAGCCCCTGTTTTACAGCAAGGATAGGTACAAACCTCAGATATGAAACTTATCTGTATTCTCGTGCACTTAAGTTTATTTTTACACAATCAAGGTGTTTGCACGAAGCCCCACTTTAATTAAATTAAACTGAAACTTTTTCGGAGCACGAGTATTGAAATTTCAGCCTTAACAGTATTAACCAAATATTTAAATAGTACTTACTTGTGTCTATGAATGATCTTAATATTGATTCAGTGCGCTGGTACTCCCTTAAGATCTTTAAAGATAACTTTGTTTCATCACTCAAGTTGTTACAGTCTTAATCCGGCCGCAATGTGGCCACGGTTGACGGGATTGTTGCCGCCATATTTCAAAACTTAATTACGCGCCCGCAAGTAAACCTACAGCGGATTTTCTCTCAAAAGCAAAGACTGAAAAGTAGACTTACGGACTCGCGTGCTGGGTCCAGGAGCAGGGAAGCACAGCACTAAAGTAAGACCTTACGTAGGTTAGCTTCTCGGTCAAATACCTAAAAAACCTTTTCTAAAGTACTGTTTGTTTCTTTTTTTCATTCAAATACAAATATTACTGACATCCATAACAAAGTTAATCAGTTGATTATGAATTAATGATTTCATGAGGAAAATGTTTGATGACATTGTGTAAATTGTTGGTTGTTGTTCAACTGTATTAGTTTATTGCTGATGAGTTATTTTTGCCCTTTTGTTAATAAATTGCTTTATCTGAAAATAATTTAGTCGTTACAGTATAAGCCTCGAGGAAATCCTTCAAACGCCAATAAAATCACCATACTCATTGTTATAATTATAATCGACCGTTGCTGTCGACTCTCCCAATGCTCAGATTTCACAAATTACTAGTAAGACAAACGCAGAGGAAACGTTTTGATGACGACAAACGACGTTCAATAACATGAAAGTTTATTCTAACTTCGCTTAAAGCAATTCCACAATTGCCATGAGTAAGAAACATTTACCATTCTTATTGTGTATTTGTGCAATTCTCTGGACTCACTCTAAATTCCAATTCAACCTGGAAACGGTGGGCAAAAAGAGCAACCTCGTGGAATGCCCATTGCTAAATCCCATTATTATCATTATTATTATTATTATTATTATTATTATTATCATCATCAGTGTTATCATTATTACTATTATTATTATAGTACGTAGTTACTATTACTGTCATTATTACTATTATCAAATAATTTGTCAGACAGCGAATGCAAAGTCCTGAAAGACACCGGGTTTAAGTTGTTGCCACATTACCCTCGTAGATGAAGCATGAAAGTAAGCTGCTTAACAAAAGATTCGACGTCAGTAAATCAAGTTGAGACAAACAGGATGCTTCTCGGAAAAAAGACATTCATTTTTTGAAAAAAATTGGTCTGACAAGTCAGTTCTGACAGTGGGTATGTGTTTGGTGAGAATTGGGGAACAACTGGCTTTGAGAAATTCTCGTCAGTCTACACCTTGAAGAGTAACATTGCAACGCGATATCAATAAGTATTGCAGAAAATTACTGTATATTATCTTATAACAGGCCAATTCATAGAAAAAACAGTTTACAGGATGTTATTCAAAGATTTCTTCGATAGTTATCATTCCATAATCAAACATGTTTCCACCAGTAATTGTTATACAGCTTTCACCACCGCAATATGAGCCCCCGCCACCCCCTGCTTGCCGACTCCCTGTGCCACTTCCGCCTCCAGAATATCCCCCGCCTCCACCTGATGCTCCATTATCTTCCGCGCCCCCTCCGCCTCCACCATAACCACCCATAGCCCCTGGAAATGGTCCTCCGTTGGTCCCAGTGTTCATCCAACCTGCTTGCCCCCCGGCCCAGGCACGGTCAAGTGATCCCCCACCATCACCGTTGGCGCCATACCTTCTTTTACATGCTGAACCGAGCCAGCCCGCGCCTGCTCCTCCGTGCCAGTTTCCACCATAGGTATTACATTCACCTGGTTGACCACCTTTTCCCCCTTTTTTGACGTGCAACGGGCTTAAACCATTGGATTCAGTGCCGTCTTCTCCAGCCTGACCATCAATGCCATTAAATCCCCCAGATGCACCCCCTCCCCCTCCAGCTGCCATCAAAAGTATTTTTTCCTGTCCTACCGTGTAAACGAAACTTCCTCCCCCTCCCCCGGTGCCGGCATTATCTTCCACTGACAAACCCAATTCAGCTGCTGTCTTACTGGTTCGCATCCCACCTTTCACTTCTACTGAATTACCCCCTCTCTTTCCCACCACAAGGACTAATACAGTTCCTTTTGAAAGACTGAAAATTCCTTTAATCTTGGCACCTCTACCACCAAAGTATGTCCCAGGTCGATATCCATAATTGTAGCTGTGAGTTCCGCCTCGTGCTCCGTAGGCAGTGATTGAATATCGAGAAGTACTGGGAACTGAATATCCTTCAGTTTTGCCTACTCTGGTATTTTTGTCTCCGACTGTTAAAATAAAATTTTACGAATCATTTTATGCTGGCGCAGATCGTAGCTAAATAGAGGAGGTGAAAAGATTCAGATAATTTATCTCACTCACAATTATTAGGACTTCAATTCTATAGAAACTGGTTGAAAAATTATTAGAAAGATTGACTCTAAATTTCAATAAAATTTCACCAGTTTGCTTATGGATTTTCCGGTCTGAATGCTCCTCGAGGTAAAGAAGTCCACGAAATGTGTGCTTTTCCAAGTATAATTATCATGTTCTCTACGTTTTCTGCCATTTTAAAGTACTAAAACAATACAATAATGGCTCGTGTGGAGTAGGTATAGTCACTCACTGTCTTGGTGAATAAAGGCATCAGCACCGGTTAAAGTCATTTGACTTAAAACAGCTGGGGCTAAGTTTTTGATAAAGCTTAAGGAATAGTGGCACAAGTTGATAGCGTTTTGCATTTGAAAGTGATAAGTAAATTGGTAATGCATCGATTATGCTGCCCAAAGCCTGGTTATCTGTTCAGAAATTCACCAAACCTCTCTTTAGGCCCATCAGATGAAAAATGCCCATGAGGAAGTTATAACATGTAATTCTTTAAGCGCTTATTGGCTTCGTGTGATATTTTGCAATGATATGATAATAGTGATGTTATGGATTTACGACAGACAATGGAAAAAAGCTTTGGAAAAGCGTGTCATTGTGATTCATGCCTATGCGGCCTTGTAAAAGGCTTTCCTTACATTCTGTAGGTATACGTCTCTCTTCAACTGGTAACAGCGTTAAGACTAAGGCTTTTGTATGAGAAAACTACTGTTTGAAAAATCTCACCTCGAGACGGCATGGCACAGTAAACATACGACGGCAGTGTCTTACTTGAGTTATCTGGTTTTAGCCAATAGTAACCACTCAGATAGTAGTCGCCTTCACTCTCTTTTATCTCTTGGCAGGAAAATGCAGGTAGCTCTTTGATTGATCCCAGTTTAACTGATGATAGAATAGCAAATCATGTCTTAGTGTAGCGAGGGCAGATGAAATAACACAAACAATTAGCCCTTCATTGACCGCCGCTCTATGGTACAGAATGATTAACTGATTAAACAAAGCTGTTTGTCAATTCCAGAAGATCCGCTTTAAGGGGGTAGTTTTAGGCAGTTATAGACATTAATAGACATTTAGCTCCTAGCTGATCACCAAAACATCTCGTCAATAACATTTCTCCAGCAAATTTAACCTCTGTTGTTGTTGAGTAGCTGGAGATATCCAACCAAAGTTGAACACTTATTGGAAATGATAAGGTCTTGATATCACTGATTTGGTCCTTGAGTGAGAAAATTAAGGGGCAATCGTGCTTGAAACTTGAAAGTTGTTCAAACTGTTCCCTCCCTTCTCGATCGCTGAGTTAAAATTATTATTACTAGCGCGATTTCTCCAAGTTGTACTCCACCAGCCAAGTCTGTATTGCTATTCGAAGACAAAGAAAATTCAATTAAAAGAGCTACATTGGTGCTTTCCCACTTTACCTGGATTTGTAATTCGCTTCAAGTAGAACCGATGGCTATCTTCAAAGAAATGCCCTGGGCGTGCATCCTTCGTGCGGTTGTTAAATTCGCACTGTTTTGTGATCACGTAGAAATTGATACTTTGGCAAATAATGTCCGCTTCACATGCTTCATAACACTCAAGAGGAGTCCTATTCCCAAGAGTCCGGTAAGTGAATCCGATAAGCGCCTTACCCAGGGCGTACTGTTCGGTGCGACAGTGATCGTCGGAGTCGCAAGTGGCCGATCTTGCGTTGGAAAATTCCCCAACCATAGATAAAACTACGATAGGGAGGAACCACGTGATCGAAATCATCTAGTAAAGCAATAACAGGGGCTAAATATTCCCTAAAAGGAAAAAGCTTTCTAAGACAAAGTTTTGCGTCTAATTTATCTAAGAATATTTGCATTATTCCTCTAAAGAAAGGTGTTTGTTTAAATTCATTTACCCGAATAGTATTGGACAAAGAAAGTTCCACGAGTTGGAGTCTTCGGATCTGTGACCCGCGTACTTCTGTCACAGGCTCATGCATAAAATATAAACCAAAACAAATTCGTTGTAATTTAGGCCAGTTTACATGCCATATACTTTACATAAATTGAATCGAGTTTGAGCCTGTCGAATCAACAGCTTTAGCTATCTTAATTCTATAGAATCAATCGTGGAGCCGACCTAGATTCTGGTTAAATTCGGTTCAAAAAAAGAAAAAGGCGGATTTATAGAATGATTTATGTTTAGTTCAGTCCATGTAATGTTAAGCGCAACGTACGGCTATTGAAAGCTAATCCAGGGTCGTAATCCAAGTTAAACTTTAAGTGATGAAAGACTGAACAGAAATAACTTAAATTAGTCGCTTCGAAGTAGATCAGACACAGCACTCATCCTAATCTACTGAATTCGATTCCTCTTAAGCAAAGTTCGACTTCTCAACAAAGCCTTGGGTGACAACTGCGCGGCCTTCAGTATGTCAATCGCATCCCGCTGTGCTGGGGTCAGCAATTTCAAACGTATGCTGCATGGCAAAGGTGGATATATGAAAAATACGTAGAAATTTAAGGTATCGTTTGTCTTTAGAACTTTTTCCATGGTTAGATGAGAAGGAAAGAGAAAATATGTAGCATTCAATATACGAAAATACTCAGGTAAAGATCCTGAGACGAATGTAAACAAATAACTTTTTCAGTTGGACCTGAACGACCACGTTATATTAGTAAAATAAATAAAGATTAATAGACCCTTTTTTTCCCCACGTCTTCACAAAAATTAAACTACCAGTGGAAATTTTTTCAAGCTGACTGCTCAAGCTGGATTGGTTGTACTCAATGAAAAGGATCCCATCAGAAATGGAACGCACCGACCGGCTTGCTTTGACTGATGTCTTTCCTATTCAAGTATTAATAAAATAAAAAATTCTAACGTTTACGACCTCGGGAATAATTTCAGCAGCAATTACAATAGGATACTATACCGGTATTATACAGGACGAGCTTCTTTTTTTTTTCTGCGCTCAGGGGAACGTCTACAAAAAGTCATTGCATTAATTAAAAACCCACTCCTTTAAGTTTTAGTGAAGCCATTAAACTGAATGTTACACAGAAGGTGTTAATAAGGACAAACATTGGGTTAATTAAATGTTGTTTTCATAGGGCTTTCCAACTTAGAGTTTAAAATCAGTAGCGGGGTGTGCCTGCTTTAAGCCACGACTGATAATGGATTTATTTCGAGGTCTATTTTCACATGCTATAATGTAGTAAAAATTGGTGAAAATTTTGGCTGTTGGTATTTGTGTTACTTCACTATTCGAAAAAAAAAGGCGCTAATTAGGATAATTGCTTTCTGCGACATACAAATGAAAACAGTCTTACTTTAGCTTAGGAAATATTCGAACGAAATGCAAGTAGTAATTTCCGTACCCTTTCTTTGAAGACCCAGTGGTAGAAATGCAATTCAAAGCAGCACATAGTTACTTCTAACAAGAGGTTTGTGGCCTGATCACAATTTAAGGCAAACAAGATGAGTAGATTCACTAAATAGCACAAGCGAGTACTATTTTTTTTAGCCGTTCGTGTTTCAAATCAAAGTGCTATGAACTTTTATAAATGGTCTACAACTGTGGTACGTATGAGGAAAAAAAGGTTTAGACCTAATAAACAAGTTAAACGGCTATTCAAATAATTATTGTAATTTTTCAACTGTTCAAAGGCTTGCTTCGCAAAAGGGGAATTGTAAGGTGTCCCATTTAACGCCCTAAGCAAACTGTCAGTAGGACTTAACAGTTAACACCTCCGCATTAGTATGCATAATCTCCTTAGTGTTCTTTATACATTTGGCATAATACTGAAAAGAAAATTTGCTTAACAATCAAGAGCTTAAATCCCTTAATTCTTGTGATCTTAATGTTTGATTGAGAGGTGATACTACGAGGGGAAATTAGACGCTAGTAATTCCTTGAAGTTAAAGGGTTAAAACACGTTTTATTGTAATATTTTAACACGTCTGCAGTCTTAGAAGAATAGTTTAAAATAACTGTCGGCCGTCGCTATTTAAATTTTATTGCATGGTTTAATTTACGTAAGTTCAACGGAACTACGCCTTGTTACATGTTTACCTTAAATAGAAAGCTTTTTTTCGTCAGTTGAAGTGATCATGACTATATTTAAATTGTCTCTCATAGCATTGTTTATCTAGTTTGTTTAGCTACTACTCTTTGTTGTTTCTATCCAGTTCAGGAGTTTTTTGACATTTGTGTACACACCTGGATACCCTGGTCTGGCGCATCCGATGCCATAGCTCACAACCCCTGTCAGAAAAAATTTTCCATTTTGGGGGCACACTAAAGGGCCTCCACTATCACCCTGACAGGAATCAATCCCCCCCTGTCTGTATCCAGCGCAGATCATGTTTTCCGTAAGTGACCGGTAGCTATTTTTGCACTCTTGGTGGTCGACAAGTGGGACATTAGCTTTCATCAGATACCTGGACTGTGGTCCTCCCGACCGAATTGTGCCAAACCCACTGACGGTGCACATGGTTCCAGTAGAAAAATCGGTGCTACTTGTTGGCATACAGATTGGCTTTATGTTGTCGCTGAATTCTACTTCCTGGCTCAACTCTACCAGAGTTATGTCGTTATCCTTTGTCCGTTTGTTGTATCGAGAATGACTGATGACCTAAAATGATAAATAACGTCCAAATTATCGACACCTTTTGACAATCGTTTTAAACGTGTATTATATCGGCATTCCCAAGTACTTCCCCTTTAATAAGATGACAGCATTTTTTAAGAGCTAAAATTTAACATCCCAAGTATTATGGTATTATGGTGTAAGATTTGGTTCTCAAGGGAACTCTTTTCCACACTGAATTTATTAATTTATATTTACGCAAACATTATTCATATTTCATAATAACAATTGATCAGAGTGACTTCACATGATCCAAAATTAGTTGAGAACGAGAAAAAGGAAAGAACTGTTTGCTATTGGTGTGTAACGCTATAATTATAGTTGGTTTGAAAACTTCAACCCAAGTTTTTCGACTCGAGGATAATATTCTGGCAGTTATAAGTGCTATCATCACCGTATAAATATCACGTTAATAATACCACGGTTCTCACTACCTTTTCCGCAGGAATTATCACTTCATTTCCATCCTCGTTTTTTGTATCAAATTCTGCCAAAATGACTTTAAGCGTCATATCGTATCTTATCTGTTCAAAGCAGTGGGCAGCTGTCACCACCCACTTCTTATCGATGAGAGTTCCACCGCAGAAAATGTTCGTTCTGCTGTAAGGACCGTCATATCTGAAGCCAACCTGCCAGGGAAGTTCAGAAGGCCTCGCTTGCTCCCCACCGACGATGCGAGACCTCCTGCCGATACCGCAGGTAATACTTCCACTATACTTTCCCTTCTGATCACTTTGTTGAACGCCAAAAGATTTGATTCCTGTGTGGAATTCGAATAAACTATAATTTTTATTTTGCAATTTGTTGATTCGTGGTTATGTAGTCTTGAAATTATCACTTTTTTAAGTAAGGCAACTACTTCATATCAGAGTCTTAAATTCATTGGGGATATTCCTCGCCATACCTCATCTGATAAAAGGGGAAAAAATGCCTATTACCTTCTTCTGTGAGGTTGCTTGGAGGAGCACCTAAGATTGAAACAGATGGTTCAAAATGTCACATTCTGATATGCCTCTAGCTTCCATTGTTTTTCAAAGAATATTTAATAGTCCTTTTTAGATCGTCGATTTGATGTCACGCTTAAGAATATGCGAAGGTCCTTCAGGGGTTGGTTTTTTTGAAAATTTATCATATTCATGTTCGTTTGCCACCTTGATGGATATCTCTTAAGTGTAGCCATCACGTATGCGTAATGTGCAATCACCTTGGCCCACGAAAAAGGTGTATTCACTTGATAGTTTACCTTGGTGGAGGTACTGCGGTAATGTTAACATTTATGTGAAATATTGATGGCGAGAAAGAGATTAAAACCTCTTGTAGCGAGTGGTCGAAACCGAAATATTTTCTGTTGATCGGTCTCTGCCATGATTGTTTATCAAAGGGGTTTCCTAACCTTTGAGGCAATTTTTTTTCTTTATGAAAAAAAGTTATTTTTGCATAATCAATATGACGATTCTGAAATCTGTTTTTAGCCTGGTTATCACATTGACGCTGGGATTAGTAGGATTATAAAGGAAAACGACACTCCTCTACGATTTCAGATATCATAACGACGGTAGTAACATGCAGAGATGGCTAAGGAGGACTTCAGGACCTTCCGGTCCATCTTAAAGCTTCTTTCATATATCTGCTGAAATATCACGGGTTGTTATAACACTCGTCGCACGCATATGGAACGTATATGCTTCACTGACTCACGAAATTTATCTTTTGAATTAAATAAAGAACTACCAGCCATCAATAACTACTGGGGTTGAATTATAATAATTTAACCTACCCATTTCAGGAAAGACATTTGCCTTAAACGTATCAGGGTCTCCTTCAGCTCCTCGTGGACTGTAGCGAACGCAGACAATGTCACCATGAGCTGAGGATCGAGCAGTTCCAGCACCAATTTCAAATGTACTGTTCCAGACAATCTTCAGTCAATCAAGGAATAAATGTTAGAGGAAAAAATATTGCTAACACACGGGTCGGATTGGAGTTTTTAAAACACGGATTGGATTTATAAACATGAATTTGAAACACAATGACATGGAAAACGTGCTTCGTTCGCTTTAAAAACTACCGAATGCATTCGCAAATCTACAGCCTGTTACAAATTCTGCTCTAAGAAACATATGTCGAGCAAATTTATCTTACACAATCATTTTTTTAAAAAAAGCCATAACAATCTGATCCTCGCTTTTTCCGGTTACTACTATTGTTTTAAACCCTTTTCTATGTCATTCAGACATGATAGAGGGTTTCTCAACATTTACGGCGAATGAAGCATCAAGAGCCGTTTATGTGATCACATGTATGTTGAAAAATTGAAGATATTTTAAGAATGCTAACTGATACCAAGAGATGAGCGATTTCGGTTTTACTGCACAACACACAGCTCAAATATTGAACCATCAAGTTTATTTTGCGCGGTTAGGCTGAGTTACAGCTTACAGAATAATAGAGAGAACACATATACAACCTATGTGTAGTACAGATTCATCAAACTGACAATTATCGCTATTCCAGCACATTCAAATCACACACACACCGAGAGCTGAGCAACCACTGATAAACATTGGGGTCAGAATGGCCGCTAAAAAAAACCTGTCGAAAAAATCCCGTAAGGTGAAAACAGACAGTAAGTCTGGGTAGGAACCGGGCCCAAACTCATAAGGCCATCCTACAAGGCTAGCTAGATACATTTAAAAAAAGCTACGAAATGCGAAAAATTGGTGTCGGCGTAGAATGATTACCCACGTGCAAACGCAGGGTTAAATACTCACATCTCGATACCCACAATGCACCTTCACGTTGCTAACGTGCCGCAGAAATATCTAATTTCCGGCTCATTCGTTGATCGTCAATTATTCATTGAGGACGACATACTGTGGTGCATTATAGGAAATTATCGGTCATTACCTGAGCAAAATGTTTGATAGGCAATCCAGGAGATTTAGGCAATCCCGTCTCAAAATTGTAGTTCACTATTTCCGAGTACCACTCGTCGACAGCCATGGCACACAATTCGGGTCTTGGGCCGCCGCTCTTTGAGTTAGTCAAAGACGTAGCAGCGATATTTTCTCCCCGGTTTTTTGAGTCCATTGTTGTGTTGTCGTTTCCTAGTTCGCCTCGCATAGCGAGTTTTTCGCACCATTCCGTGGCTTCCTTGGCTAACTCCTCCGACCAAGCGACAGGCTGTGCGCCATGAATCTTCCTGAGACCATTGTGAGACACAACACAGGTTTTGCCAAAGTCGTCATATCCGATGACCTCTTTAAAAACAAAATTAGCTGCTGATGCAGTAATCTCAGGACGTTACAAAAACCTCAGGGATATGGTTCAAGTTTGAATTTTGTTTCAGAATTTCCCATCATCTAAACAATTTAAATCAAAGTCATCAAAGCATCTTGTTTTCAAATCGCGGACCTGAAAAGTTTTTCAATTTGAACATCCCGAATATTAATTTCGCACTTAAAGAGTGCAGAGATCACAGATATTCTTACATTTCATTTCACTTTTTTTAACGATAATGATTAATAAATTTACACCATCACAAGGTAAGGAGACGTCAAGAAACCACCAGAAGGTCACCTCGCGTATAAAAATATAAAAAAAAATAATTGTTGCGATTGTGCGGCTTGGCCAATTCATTGATTTTTTTTGGTCTTTGGCATTTTGGTCTTAAAGTTAAGAAGACTTGGCGAACGAGTCACTGATACAGGAATTAGAGAGCCTCAAATTTTGGGACCTTGGTACAGAATTGTAAATTGCTCACGATTTGTAGGACACGAATGCGATTCTTAAAATAAAATAAAATTCTAAAACGTCAAGATGTGACTTCTGTTGGAAACAATCCGAATGCAATAGAAAACTAGTGGTATTTAAATCAGCTTTAAATCCAAGTAACTTACCTACCCAAAGAAGAGAGGCACAGAACATAAATGCAAATAAATGAAATAGGAGCATGTCAAATTTCGAACACCTTTCTAATTCTTCCGTCTTCCTTCCAATCTTCTTGTTGATTTTGTGATCTTTTCAGGCTTGAAGTTGCTTATATAGGAAACAAGCGGCATTCATTACCTAATTCTGGTGAGGTCTTTGTGTGCAAAGATGACTGGTACCACGTAATAAAACTGTACGCTTTTCAACATAGGACACTCCCATATGTTCAGTAATGAAGCAGCACGCGAACTGACAAGACAAAATTGTTTATAGATGATTGAGGAGAGAAATTTCCAGCTTCATCAATAGTTTTTTTTCCTTCATTAAAAATGGTGGTGGCAAATTGTTATCTGCCACTATATGTCTTCTCCACCAATAATCATACCGTAGGCAGTGTGGGTTGTGCAAAATTTAAGGAACTTCAATGATAGGGATATCTTTAATTTTCCCCAATTTTTTCAAACCACAGACTATTAGATTGTCTTAAGACTGAGTATTCAATCCAAAAAACAGCACGTTGAAAATTCTCCACAAACACACAAAAAAAATACTTATTCCTCTGCTGAAAAGTACAAGCAACGTGGTGCTATGGAGGGAATCGTCCACAAGCAACTATTTATTCTTTCTCCTCCTATTCCGTCACATTACTACACCCACTGTTGGAAATTCATAGGGGGAAAAAAAAAGGAAAAAGCACAAGCAACGTGGTGCCATGGAGGGAATCATCCACAAGCAATTCTTAATCATTACCCACGTGACATTACCACGCCCACTATTGGAAAATCATAAGGAAAAAAAAACGAAAAAAGCTTCGGTTGTGGGAAACTGTTCCCAGAAGAGTTAAGGCTTCGTCGTCGAAATAAAGAAGTTAAGAAAGTTCGCGCTTCTTCAATTTATATAGCGTGAATCTTGAGCGGTAAGCTGAGGGGCATTCCGTCATAGATCGAGGGCGGGCGCTGAACATGATAAGGAAACATTATGGCCCTTATGATAACCTGTTCTTAGCTCACCACTGTTGTATAAATGATATCCCTCACGTTTTTAGGCTAATCACTTCCTTTGCTGATTGTCCCTCTTAAAATCCATTTAATATCTACAAATATCGAATTGATTCTTGAAAGCAGGAGTGTGCGTGATATATGATAAATGATATGATAAATCCTAACCACAAAAAAAAACAGCCTCCTCGACCCAATTATTAAATACTTGAAAATTTAACTCAAGTTGTTTCCTAACAATGGTCACTCTCGCAGAGTTTATGAGTGAACCAGTCCTCTCTTTTTATCCTTATTTATTAAGGTTTTCTATTGTCTTCCTCTAAAAAGGCAACATGTTTAGTAAGAATGACCAACAGTTGACGTATGTTAAATAAAAATTACAATTCTAATAAGTTTTAGTTATGTGAGTAATCCAGGGCTTGAGATATTTCACGTTCGTATAAATGTTTGGCGAGCGAGCCCTGGAACATCTTTTACCGTGACTGACAATTCCCCCCAAGTAAAACTTTCCCTTGTTATAGCATGCAAGAGGTCCACCGCTGTCGCCTTTACAAGTATCTAGAACCCTTTCTGTGTATCCTGAACATAACATTCTGTCTGTTAACCAACGGACGCTTGTTCTACATTCTACAGGAGAAAGTATGGGAACATCGATTGCTCGAAGCGTATTTTCAGCATTTTCTAAAGAGTAATCTAGTCCTGAACCGGTTACAGTGCAAATTTCGCCACCTGAAAACGACACTGTTTGATCCGGTAAACAAATTGGCCTCATATAGTCGTTGAATTCTTTAAGAGGCGTTTTTAACTTGACAAGCGCAATGTTATAATCTTTGGTGTTCTTTCTGTGCAAAGGATGTCTAATCACTTTAGAAGCCTCCGCAACCACCTCTCGACCGTCTTCGTTCTGAGCATCAAATTCACCCAAAAGGACTTTCAACTTAAACTTTGGATTTACACGAACTACAAAGCAGTGCGCAGCTGTCAAAATCCACTCTCTATCCAGTAAGGATCCGCGACAAAACACGTTTGACTTGCCCAACCGGTTCTGATATCTAAAGCCTACTTGCCAAGGAAATTCTCCTGGTTTAATAGCTTCATTACCTGTTGGCCCTCTCCTTTTGACAATTCCACAGGTAATATCCTCCATAGGTTTTTGTTCTAACTCTTGATTTGTCAATTCTGAAAGCGTTTTGAGTAACAGTGAATGGAAAAGTTTTATATACTTCATCATAGATTAGAATCACACCATCGGCCATCGTGTAATACTTAAGTGTAACTTTTCACGCTAATAAATTCTAACAAAGAACATTTACCTGTCCAAAACACAATGACTTATTCAAACAAATTTTTCTAAGGCTGGTTATATGCATGTAAAACTGTGTTCGTACCTTCATCTGTATCAAACGGCGAGCTTTCATTTTGGAAGGCTGCGTTTTCTGTCCCCCCTCGAGAAAGAAGAAAAACAAAGTTACGGTGAGCCGTGAGACATGTCGAGAAAACGATAAACCTTTTAGGCGCTCGTTTCCGTAAACACTCTTTTATCTCGTGCCCAGCAACGAATCATTATTAGAGCCGCAAGATTGGTCTCCTCTGCGAAACACTGTTATATGGGTCTTTTTGTCTGTTCTTGTGAGGAAGAAAACGGTCGATACTCTTCTCTGAAGCCAAGGAAGTTATCAAAAATGATCGGCACCTTCAGTGTGTGAATGGTTAACTTTGATGGCTATTTTATAACTCCCTTATCCAGTTAACTATTAATAGCACGATGTAAATGACAAAACATGTGACGATCAGGGTTGACAAATGCTTCAGCTCGTTGCATAAGACTTAAGAGAATTCCACAAGGGAGTATATCAGAAAACGTACCTAATATGGTCGGCTTTGGTGTTGAGGATGGAGATGTCGAATCTCTTTCTTGTAAAATGGGTATTGCACCTGTTTTAAAAAGGATTTGACAAAAACGGTCACAGTTGATGAAATCTGAATGACCAAGTAGCCAGACTGATGATTTACAATTCTTGAAAGGTTGGAAAAGTTTACTTTGACTTTATTGGAGGGAGCTCAAGTTCTTGATGCAAAATATTTGTTGACTGAAGTCCTCGTCTCGTTAAATTTCCGAATGCATATATGATAGAAATGCCCAAGAGTGTACTGAACGAAAATGATATCTTTTGTAAATCAAACTCTTTAAAACAAAAAAGAAATTTGGAGAAAATCAAAATTATCGAAAACCTCAGAATTAATCGAGGCCAGTCAGATACTAGATGCAAAGAGGGCAAAAGTTTTTTCAACTTTTTTTGCATAACAGCTACTTCTAATTGTTGTTTAGCACACTGATGATAACTATTCTATATTTGATTTTCTGTTTGAGCTCACCTTGTCAGTTCAAGGCCACTTCGATATCGCATAATGTTAATGAAAAGATTGTGCTTAAAATAGTTGCTCTTTGATCGAAATCAATACCTTTAGGAAAAACATTTTTGATAAAGGTTTGCGGTCCACCCTCTCCTCCCTTGGGGGAATATCGAGCCACTGATATAAAACCGTAAGTTTTAGAGATTGCGCTTCCAACTCCTATCTCCATCGAAGCATTCCACACAACCTGTAACGGTAAAATGTCTTTTTCTCTAACTTTTAATTAAAAGTGTTTTCACGTGTTCATTACATTTCTTCTACTCTGAATACGATCCTATACTCTTGATTGGGCAGTTTCCGTACAGTAATTGGCCGATATTAGGGCCATATCTTACAGAGCTGAATGCACGTTCAATCAGGAGCTAAGTAATGGGCTCCTGGTTCAATACGTGACGCGCTCGACTATAAAGATTGTATTTGGGTCACACAACTCAGTCAAGCACTATTGCTTCTATACAAGTTCATAACGCATAAGGTTTTATACGATTACCTAGATGAGGGGATATATTGATACGATGAAATATTTATAACCTGTGCAAAGTGTTTGATCGGCAAATCAGGCTTCTTTGCGATCCCCATTTGGTAGTTATAGTTCCCTGACTCGTCATACCAGTTCTGCACTACCTCGCTACACGTGAAACAATTTGGTTTCAAAGATCCTTGGCATTTTGGTTGAGGTGGCACAAACCAGGCTATGTTCTCACCCTCGTCTTTCTCTGCCAAAGTATCACCATCATGTTCGATCTTGTCATTTATTGCAAGATACTCCGCCCACTTCTGTGCATCCACGGCGAGTGACTCAGACCACGAGAGGGACTGGGAACCATGAAGCCTTCTCAGCTTGTTGTGTTCGGTTACACAGTCACGGTCAAACAAGTCATAAGCGAGACCTTCGACGTAAATGGTAATGCTCGACATTATTTTCGAAAATATTGGAGCGTATATCTCAGCGAAATGTTTAAATGAAGTGTGTACAACGAGACTGATTTTGTATAGAAAATCTGAGCACTAATTATAATAAACTATCTCACCGAAAAATTAATAACCCCACAGACGGAGAATATTGGTTTTTTTTTTTAATTTTTTTAAAGTTTTTTCAATAAGTGGACCTTTCAACTTGCAGGTCCCGAAACATTATAGTCATTATGCAAAGAAAGGATGTCAATTCCACCACAATTGATCATAAATTCACTTGACGGTGGACGTAGCGCGACCGATGCTTTCTCGAACACACAAGGCGGCTGATTATCGAGAAAGTGGAGTTTGCCATTCACATTTGTTAGCTCCTGTTGTCGCAAAACTAATGGTAATGAGTGACCTTCAGCAATGGGATTCAGGCGAATGAACACGGTTTTATGTCAGTTTGATCCTTAAATTTCGTGCTGTGGGATGGCTGTGTTAGTGGTGTGGGAGTTTTATGTCAATGACTCCAGCAAAGTTAATGACTTCGGTGACTTCAACTTACATTTTTCATTTTCTTTCAATTCGAAGCAAGGGTTGTATTTTAGAAGCTAAAAATCTACTCTGATTTATATTTACTTTAAACCGCAGCTAGTTTAGTGCTTGCGTTTAAATACAGTTAAATCGGTCACATCAGTGCGTTTGAGCCTTACATAAACAAGGGGCGGAATCAAAGAAAAATTAATTAACTTAGTCATATTTTGAAATCATTGCTCTTACCTGTGTGGAATAATGGACAGGAAACGAAGAGCAAAATGCAACGGAACGCCATCGACAATATTATCTGCTTTTCACATCTTCATCTATAGAAAGAGGAAGAGATTGTTTTTTGGCGAGCTCTGTCTCTTTCTTAGAGTGACTAATATTTATCAAACCAATTAACAGCATGTAATTTGTTATGCTCTCCGTCCTCTGTTGTATTACCGTGAAACATTTGACAAAAATTTGATTTCAACATCGAACACTTAAGACATCTTTAGATTTACGACGATCACACGTGTAAGCAGCCCAATAAAGAAATCAAGATGTTCATAAGCTAAGTTCAATGTAGACCTAATTTTAGCTGTTTCGACCTGTTCTTACTGAGGAAGAGTGGCATTACTTTTTGGGTAAATTGGCAAAATATTGTCTGAACCGTAAAACGCGATACATTTGTTCGAGAAACTAGTTATTTTACCGATCTCTTTTACCTCAAGGATTGCAGTTTTTCATCGTTTCCCAACCGAACTCGGGTATAACAAGTTGGCCGCCATGTTTGATAATTAAGAATTTATTAGACCGTGACTATGGTGGTGCCATGAGTAGACTAAATATAGCCACCCGCTTGTAAAACACAGAGACCTACTGCAGAAAAATAATTACGTTTTAACTTTAGGGTTAACGATCATCACAACAATTAACATTTACACCAGCATTTTTGGAACATAGCTTGATATGTGATGTACCGGCGGTACAAGTGGCATGTATGATTGAAAAGTTTAATCTATAGCAATTGAAACGATCAAAATTTGGGCAAGTGAATGTGTAATTTGATTGAAACATATATGATCGCCTCAGAGTTAAAGCGGCGTATTATTCAATGAAATAATGTGTAGATGTACATGAAGTATAAATTCATAAGTACATTTAACTTAGAAGAGACATGTCTCAGAAAATGCATGTACGGTAACATTAGCGTTGTTATTCATCAGAAACATGAAGTCAAAATCGAAGTGAATTTGCTTGTAGGTGTTGTCTCAACCAGCTAACAGCGTGCTGCCTTGACATCTGACCTGTTGCTTTTGTTGGTTGTAAGGGTATAATGTTCTGTGACCCAAAACAATGTCGCAGCCCCCGAAAAAGGATCTGTCTATCTTGTTTTTTCTCTCGTCATTCATTATTTCAGTAAGATCAGGTATTTATCTACGTTGGGTGTGATTTTGTATACTACATAAGAAATATTATCGTTAAAGTAGTTTACCTCATCATCCGAAACAAAAGTCAATTTTCAATTTTTTAATTGACAATAGTTCAAGTAGTATTTATCCATGGATCATTGTGCCGAAATCTTTGGAAAACGGCGCGACTGCATGTGTGCAACGTAGCTTAGACCATGCTTATGTAGTTCCATATTCAAAGAGCGTAAACTAGAATAAAATGGGCAAATAAATTATATCTGCACTCGTTGTAACGTATTGGTGCCTCAGTTTATTTGTACGTGCCCAGGTCCACCGTTTACAAAGTTTAATTTCTTTCCTGGTCTAAATCTCCTCAATTAGCTTTAGTACATCTGGCACAGCTTTTCCAGCCACATGAAGGCATTTTCACCTTCAGACTGAGTGCGACGGTCATTTTTCTCTACAGGTAATCTTATCGACCAGCTGTTATATATGCAGGAGTCGGCCCTCATAGAGGCTGTAAGCCAAGGGATCCCCGAGAGCTGGACTTGGCAAGCGGGACTCAGACGACCAAATGAACCAAATGTATTTTGTTGCGGCGTACTTATCGGTAGTTCTTGGGTTCTTACTGCTGGAAACTGTGTTTACGCTATGAAGGACTTCGTGCCAACCCCACTAATTGAGGTAATCATAGGTGAAAAAGACCTTCGGAACAAAGACGGAGTCGCCTCGAACGTGACTGAGGTGTTCCTTCACAATAAGTACGACCCTGATACTCAAGACTACGACTTTGCACTCTTGCGGCTCGCAGATCCTGTAGAACAAGGCCCATTGATGTACATTCGTCCAGTCAAGTTGCCCCCTGAACAATTAGACTTTGAATCAGGGACGGTCTGCTTTGTGTCTGGGTACAGAGCGCCAAAACCCGGGAATAACTCTTTTACGAAACTGATAACCGTTCAAGTACCTATTGCAAGTGATTACGCATGTAAGAAAGCTTATCAGGATCGCACCATAACAGCGAGAATGTTCTGCGCAGGTTTTGAGGAAGGCAATGCTGTTGCTTGTCAGGGGGATGGGGGAGGACCGCTGGTCTGTAAGGATGGTAACAATTGGTATTTAAAAGGGCTAGTGAGCTGGGGACGAGGTTGTGCTGTCCCAGGAAGCTATGGAGTTTATGCGAATGTAAAAAAGGCTATGAAGTGGATAGAGAAAATAACGGGACTTTCAGGAGACGAACCTGAACACTGAATCTTATCGTTGCATTAACGATAATCGTGTAATAATGGGCATCAGTTAAACTTTCATGATTTTTGCAACGACACATTCTCACAAGACCACACGTGCCATTGCTCAATTGTTTTAATTAAATTTCAATAGTCGGGAAACAAACTGATTATCGCATTTGCTTCGTAGCATCAATTTAACCTTTCTCCATGAGACAATTTTTCTGCGTTTTATTTGCGAAATTTTCATGAGTGTTTAAGCAAAATTCATTTTCATCAGAGTGTAAGCAAAATTCATTTTCATTAGAGTGTTTAAGCAAAATTCATGTTGTCAACTGTCGCTTGTCGTGACAACAACATTCACCAAAGATTTGGATTTTATTGCGCACGTACAAATTTATTCAAAATCGTTATAAATCGATACGGACTATATCTGGTGTTTAAAAAATTGGCTACAGTTCTGCGCTTTTCAGTCAGTATATCATTACGTTTTACTTTGAAGAATTTGTTAAAATGACCTGCTTTGTGCTGTCGTTTCTCTGAGAAACGACACGCCCCCAGTGGCAGATGCTGTAAGAAAAGATTCTAACACATAGTAGAAAGATTGAGGGTAAAAATGTTTACTTTTATGATGTTAGCCTTTGTGATCCTTTGTTCTCAGCTATTTGGAAACAACGTCTCAGGTAAGTCAACTATTGTAATGATATCACTTACCAAATCACAAGAACTGCAAATCTCTTTCAAAAATTCTTTTGAATTCCTTTCTGATAAACAGTCTCTTGAAAAATAAATTGTTGTCATATTTAAGCCAGGATTATGACCGCAGATACCGAATTTTGGGGTCGTTCGCCCCCTATCATTAGATTTGTACACCAGTTTTCTAGCTATCATCTTTGCTTTCAACCTTCGATCCAATTTTTTTTATTTGTGTACTTCTCTTAAAGTTTTGACACACATGCTTTGATTCATATTTTAAGGGGCTGGTGAAAAAAACATAACTCTAACCAACATCACAAATCAACATATGCAATGTTCTTATAAAGCAATTGACCTCATTACGCAGGAAAAGCTCGTAATTGTTGGAGGTAGGGATTAACTTTTTGTATTTTTAATTTGTATTATTACATTGTTTTTTTTTTTTTTTCATAATTGCTTCTTTCAATCGTTATTTTAAACTACAGGCTGCTAACAGAACTTATGCCTTTTAGTGTCAGTAGAGCTATTATAAGTTATATTAATATTAGCTAGCGAATCAAAGAATCGGGTATCCAACAATTGTCTAAAAATCATAGAGAATTCAAGTCATTATAGCTTTTGGCTTTATGTAGAAATTGTGCTGAGCTTTGGCCATTACACTCTCTCTTGCTCAGCTTGCAACGGGACACCTCCTCATGTCCCTTGGCCACCGATGCCCTCAGTTCCTGCACCCTGCATTCAAGGTAGGTTGACTCATACTTTCGGTCAAGCACCTACCTGGGAGGGTGCGATATGGCTCTGAAATGATAAACTAAAACGCGAGAAGACTGTTGGAACCCACAAAGACGACATACTGGTAAATTGTAACCAATCGCAAACTAGATAATGGTCAAATATTGGTCGCACAAAATCAGAGCTCTTTTCCACCAAAGGAAAATATCAAAAAGGAAGTCTTGGAGAATGATTCGAAGTAAAACAAGTGAGGTATCTAATGCGCAAAATAACCTGACTGACAGAATCTTTGAGGTTATGCATCTGAAGGCTGAAGGGATGACGTGAGTGTTATAACTCATTATTAACCCAAACCCCCAAAAACTGAAAACTTATGCAATCTCTGTTGGTAATTGTTCTTTCGTTGCATTCCCCGTTTTCAACTTTTTTGTGACGCAGGCAATACATCCGCACCTGCTTGGCAACTGCAGCCGAGTTATATCGTCGGGGGAATTGAATCCAAGAGAGGTCAGTGGCCATGGCAGGCTGGACTGAAGCGATCTGCATCGGAAAAAATCTTCTGTGGTGGCTCGCTGATTGATCCTCAGTGGGTATTGACTGCTTCTCACTGTTTGTACGAAATGTCCAAATACTCCAAATCGGGAAATATACCCCACATTCAGGTATCGTTGGGAGAGTACAATCAAGGAAAAAAGGACCCAGAGGAAGTGAATGAAAACGTCGTAAAGCTCTTCCTACATGATCAATACGACCCACAAACTTTAGATTACGATGTTGCGTTGCTTAAGCTTAAAAATCCTGCAAAATTAACAGAGATTGTAAGGCCTGTCTGTCTTGTGGACGAGAAGATTGACTTTGGCCCTGGAACTAACTGTTTCGTCACAGGTTTTGGAGTCACTGAGCAGGGTGGGGAAGTGTCAGCAAAACTACAAGAAGCGAACGTACCAATAGTGGCACAACAAACTTGTCAAGCAGCATACAAAAATAAAAAGATCACACCCAGAATGCTGTGTGCAGGCTATGCTAAAGGAGGCATTGATGCGTGTCAAGGAGACAGCGGAGGACCGCTGGTTTGCATGAACAACGGCAAGTGGTTTCTAAAAGGAATCGTAAGCTGGGGAATTGGTTGTGCGAGGCCTGGTGCTTATGGTGTCTATTCAAACGTGAAAGAATTCTTACCGTGGATTCGCAATATCATAAACAGCGAGGTGGAGGACACCAACCTGACTTGATTTTAAGAAATTCATGAAAATTTGATTATTTATTTTTCCCGAAGGAAAAACTGAATTAAACTGAATATCATTCGATAAATCTTTTGTTCCTATTCATTGGCCAAGAGTGTAAAAACTGATCGTCCCTTACAGTTTCGGTGTGCTTTATTTCTAGTGATCCACGCCCCTCTGTATTCAATGGTAGATTGCTTTCCTGAGGTGTTAGGTGAAGATTCCCGAGGAGTGATTTTAAGTTCAAACTCGATGATCCGTAGTTTTCCCGAGCCTTTAATCTGAATGAATATCACATTAAAAAATCTCATTGAACTGCTATCACTTGAAGGATAACCTAAAATCTTAGATGCAGAATGAAATTCATTCCCCTTTTCTATCGTTTACAGTCAAAATTCAAACCCCTCTTCAGGGGTTTATGATTAAACCCCTGAAGAGTGAAGCGATTCACGAAACAGGCTTGTCGGGAAAATGTAGTTGCGTCCTTTTTTTCTCTTAACATATATATATATATATATATATATATATAAAATGGAGGGTAATGTTTGAATGGTATTTTCTACGAGGAGCCAAAGACAAATTTTTAGACAAAATACTTTCCCTTTTGAAAGAAATTGGTGGCATAAGAAAAAGGGTAGACACTACACTTGAATGAAAAATTAGAGACGGATGCATTTATGCCTTCAAGCGCAATGAAGGCAAGTTAAAATTCTGAGTAAATTGATTCGAGACTTGATACATGCACCGCAAGTACTCGGACAGTAATTCTGATTTTATGTGTAATAAATAGTTCTGTAAATAACGAAGAATATAAACCTTTAAACGAGACACTGTGCTTTTAACTGCCTTGGTTCTTTCGCATTGCCTGAACGGATCAAATAGATATTTCTCATGTACTCTGATGTCTTCCTTCATTTCATTTTCACAGAGTCAGATGACTACATGATCAATATCTCCTCGAGAGAGACATATCGTGGCTTTAATCATCAATTACTGGGTAATTAGGGGTAACCAGAAGAATTAAGTAATTTTTCAGAAAATTTCTAGAATATCTTAATTGCTGACACAACTTGAGAGTTTTCTATCTTTTATGAAAGGATGTTACGGGCCACGCCCAAAGTGTAGAGCCACCAGCAAGAGAGGGAGGGCAATAGCTCACAACACAAATTAACAAACAGTATCTACTACGGTGGAAGACTGCAGGAACTATGAATCTCCAGGTGATTTCTTTTTGGGCCTTCAGAAAGGTTTAGTGTCATTTATTAAAAATCGTATCGAGGAAGTAACCTTTGTCCCTCTTAAACAATTTCAATAATGTGTGCGATTAGGAATATCTTTGAATACTCAGTTGATCAACTTTTCATTATCCAAATGTATACGTTTAGGTGTAACTATCTCTGAGTTTTTTTGAACAGAGACCTGAAGATTTCAATGAGGAATTCACAACAGAAACAGTCGTTCTTATTACGACTGTGAAAGTGGTATATTAGAAGGCATTAGATATAACAATAGCGTTATATTTGACAACGAAAACAACTATTCATTGTTATTAGAACAGGGACTTTTCTGACACAATTTTCAAGATAAGTTATGAGATTTGAGATTGAAAAACTTTTTGGCTTTCCCTCCAAGTAACAATACACCTGTTAAGTGAGCGACATAGGCAATCAGATATAATATATTGAATAAGAAATACTGATTACAGGGAAAACAAATGGCAGTTCGGTCTGTTTGATAACCGAATATTTCTTATCGACTCACTTTTAATTTAGGAGATTTGCCTATCAAGGTATGGTTACCTTATGTTTACGCTCCTGGTGATCAGTCTCGCTTTGAAGGGTAAGAATAGTGTATACATCATCTAAGTACTTTTAACGAACGAATCGAGTGGAAGAGAATTCAAAAGATAGCATCTGTTTAACTCTTGAAGGTAGAGTCGAAATGTTGTTGATTGACCGAATCCTGGTGATCATATAAACCGGATTTTAGGCCATTGCTACTCTAAAAGTGTTAGAATCGTTATGAAAATATTGTTTTTACTTTCCTGTATATTTAATCTTGTTGAAATTTAAATACTATTAAGGGCTCGCATATGATGAATTCGACAAAGAATGTGTCCGTGTCCATAATCAGTTAAGAGCACTCCACAATGCTTCTGCCCTTTGCTGGTCAGAGTCTTTGGCCGGGGAGGCCCAGAAATGGGCTGAAAACTTAGCGAATAGGGACCGTGTGGAACATGATTACCAGGATCTTATCACAAAGGGCCAAGGAGAAAACATTGCTTGGATTAATTCGACAACTGAAAAGTGCGAGGGACCTAAAAAGCCTGGTTGTGTAGGCTGCGGAGATATTGTAAAGAAGTGGTACAGCGAAGGAGAAAATTACGACTTTCAGAAAGGTGCTGCGATTGATCCAGGTCAACCTGTCCATCACTTCAATCAGGTAATGTACGAATTTAAATTGCTCAAGCTAAGGGCAAAGTACGCTAGAATGAAAATAGATTTCCGACTAACTGTTTGTGGCAAACAAAGCTAATTACATCTCTGTTAATTATGTCTCGGTTTTCAGTTTCATCAGTAGAAACCTAAGTCGAGGACGTTTCAGTATAATTATCTTACCATACAATGGGTTCTCGCTGCGATAAGTTGTTGCCCATAATTTATCAGAGCCCAGACGCACATACAGATATTTTTTCCTTGCTTTACCCAGAGGCACCATGATCTGTTAGAAGTAACCTAGCGCGATTAGTGGCAGCTCAAAATGTTATTCTCAGATTTTATCAAACATCGTTTTCCACGTACATGTTACATTATACCACCCGGCTGCGCAAAACCGATTTGTCTGTTCACTTGAACACAATGTCCTCTAACACAGATTGTATGGAAGTCCACAACAGAACTAGGGATGGGGAGTGCTCGAAGTAATGAACATGGCTTGATAATAGTAGCACGATATAGTCCCATGGGAAGCACAGGTGGAACTGTTTCTTTTCTGCAGAACGTCGTTCCCTCAGGTGCGTTGACCAAAGATTTTCGTAGAATGATTGAGATATTGCACCTGCTCTCATTGGTCGATAAGTGCGTTGAGGTGAAAGAACATAAACCTTCTGGTAATGCATGAGAATCGTGCGTAGTTTTTTATAAATATCGTAGAGCAGTAGCATACATTTCGCGTGTTTCCATAATACTCGGCATATTGAATCTTCCACAGTTCCACAGTAGAAACCCTCGGCTACATCTCAGGTTTACTAAACTGACTGGAACTCCCGAGCCCCTTTTTAGTTAAAATGTCTGCAACACGTATAAGGACTGACATAATATTTTCGTACATATGGAAATAAACGGAAAAAGACTATTAAGTTTGGATAGATAGATGATAAATAAATGGGCAAATAATTAATCAATGAACGATTCGGTTTCGAAATGTCTGTTACAATCCGATAAGTTGGTTAAACCTAAATAACTTCGAAGACAAGAAGAATATGATGCATGTATGATCTATCTTTTAGGTCAAAAGTCTGGAAACGTTTCTCTAGATACAACAGGTAAAAAAAAAAAACAGACTACCATGACTACTTAGCAATCCCTCACGAGAACTAAAGGTATATGCACTGATTGCAAAATTACTACTCTAACTTACTCTCGCTATCATCCTAACAACTGCATTTCTTACATTTTATTCGTCTCTTCCGTAAAAACATTAAAAAAAAATTGCACGCAATTAATTTTTTTAGTAAATCATTGCTCCTTTCCAAACATAACAGATCAAAACACAAAGTCGAAGCCAGAAACAACTGTAATAAAGATCACCAAAGTCGTGCAAAGTAAGTAAAAATACCTCACTTCACGGCGGTGAGGACGCACCAGAGTTAATGGGAAGTACAAAATGGACGCACAAAGAATTTCAATAAACAAAACATCAATATATTTGTGTTAAATAGAGATGATATCAATGACTTGAAAAACAATCATGGCGTTTATGATGTTGGTGATGTCGTTTGTGTATAGTTCTCGTATTTGTCTGAGGTAATGTTTATGTTATCATAACGATGTCAATTAACAATTGGTTCATATGTCAGCGTGCGTTCATCGAGATATGAAGAACGCGGGAAGTTTGGAGAGCACGAAAGATGCCTCTAGCTTCTTGAGTGCTCTCCAAACTTCCCAAGTGCTTCATATCTCGATAAACGCACAGCTGACGTATGAACCAATTGTTTTATAACATTTTCAACCCGAAGGAAAATTTTTTCTCGAGGGATTTGTTTGCTGACGTCATGAGCGTGCACAATAGGAATATGAAACACGCTCGCTGAATTGAATTTGATTAGTCAAATTTACTAGCTATGCTATAAAGCTGTTTAACTCATTCCTTACAAAAGTTCATTAGTTAGCTTGGTTCCTTGATTTTCTTAAAATTGATTTCTAGAATTTCCTCTAGGGATAAACCCAGAAGAAAATGAGACGCAAGGTAAGCTGAGTGTTTTTTTTATTTCTCGTAGTTAGCCCAAAAGTAGTTCCAGTAGAAAAACTGAGTTACAATCATATTCTTTCTTACAAAATTGAAATGAGACGAAATATCGGTCAATGCCAGAATATACTCACACGGCTTGTGGTTTCCGTCAGGCTATTCGAGGGTGATTATTTGCATACTAAAGGGAAATAAGCCTACTTGGTTAGAAATATGTATGGATTATCAACGACGACTCTTAGCGCTGCCCCCCTCCCTTATGACCTCAACCTCTAAAACATTATTTGAGGGGAGAATGTAAGGAGGATGGAATTATAAGTATTATAAGAGCGCAATCTGTATAAATATTGACATTACGATCGAAATCGAAACCAACAATATACAAGCTTCATCTGCTTCAACCTTTGCTCATGCATATTTTTCCTAATTTCGACCCGCCCTCGTCACTAGCCCCTACGACAAGCTCTGGACCAAACGGGAACTCCATGACTTGTGGAATCAGAAAACCCAGCCGTATTGTTGGAGGTGAAGTCGCATATCCAGGTGCTTGGCCGTGGCAAGCAGGATTCAAACGTGATGCAAATGACATAATCTTCTGCGGAGGATCCCTAATAAACAAAGAATGGATCGCCACTGCGTCTCACTGCGTTTATGACTTACTCAGTATGAACAAAAACGCTGTGTTAGTGGTGAAGCTGGGTGAGTTTGACAAGGCGAATAAAGAGGAGCAAGAAATCTCAGTAAAAACGAAGAAAATCATCATGCATCCAAACTACAATTTTAAAACCTTGGATTACGATATCGCCCTTGTGCAACTGGAGGAACCACTTAAAGAGTTTAGCACATACATTCGACCCGTGTGTATGCCAGATGGTAGCGAGACGTTTGACGAGCAATCAAAGTGTTACGTAACTGGATTCGGAAGAACACAGCAAGGAGGAGAGTTAGCCGGAATGCTGCGCATGGCAAAGATACCGCTGGTTAGCAAAAAAACGTGCAAACAGGCATATGGCGAGAAGCTTACAGACCGCATGATCTGTGCAGGTTTTCCCAAAGGAGGAATAGACGCATGTCAAGGAGACAGTGGTGGACCGCTGAGCTGTTTACATGAGGGCCGTTGGTATCTGACTGGCGTTGTCAGCTGGGGAGTGGGATGTGCTCAGCCTAACGCGTATGGTGTCTATTCCAAAGTACAGGTGCTGAAGGACTGGGTGCAAGCTACTATAAAGGCTAACGAGTAGTAAGTCAATGTCTGAGATAAACACATAAATTCAAGGTTAAAGAAGGCATACGTTAAAGCTATGGATGGCTCTTTCTCTTGAAATGAATAAATTAAAATTGCAAACTTAAAAAGAGGTGCTCCAGATAGTGTGTTATAACTGACATTACTTCCGTTGATAAATAATCGTCCCGATAAGAAAGCACTTCCCATTGTGCCTTTTCCTTACACAACCCTGTTTTACACTATACAAAAATTCCGGATTAGACAAGAGTGGGGATGGTGTTTTAAATCTTATTTTCCACTCTAATTTCCAAACCACAGCTTCTTGTTGAGAGAAAATATTGCGAGTATCAAGGAAAATGTACTACTCGAAAACAAGATTACCAACTCGCTCTCTCACCTGAGGAAGTTAAACAGAAATCACGGTTTCGAGGATCAAAAACTACTCGTAGACACCGCTAAACCTAAGGACATGTAGAAGCATAAAATAATTTCTCAATCACTGCGAGGCTCAGAAAAACGTATTGAAAACCACAGCATGAAATATGAATAACGTAACAATTGATTGCGAGAGTCGGATATCATTACGATGCCAAAGATAACCCCAGGTCAGAGCCTGAAGACTTAAAAAGTCATTACAATCTGCCGTTGGAATTAAAAGAAAAAAGACTCATACGAAAGCTCATAAAAAAAAAAGATGCCACTGAACGGACAGTAATACAGAAATGCAGACATCACAACGAGGCTGACAACTCATACCGTGATCCTTTGAGAAATCGTTAAAAGTATCATTACGAGGCTCAATCAAAATTATGGAATCAAGAAGACGAAGGGACATTTGGTTGTCTTTGCTTTGTTACAATACCTGTAACAAAGTTACAGTTGTATCTGACTATGCTGTATGTAAAATTTGGTTAAGCAACACATTAGAAAATCACTGTAAAACAAATTACTTAAACATCTAGACTTAACAATAATAGAAACCTGAGCACTTAACCATTCTCGAGAGAGACATGTTCAACAAGCGTTTAAGCTTCTCATTCATCCACCTGTACAACTTTATTCATCTTGTGGCACAAAGCACAACCTCAGTTTTCAATAATAAATAACATTTGAACTCGATCACTATATTCAACAAAGTGAAAGTAATGAGGTGAAACAAAACTGAAATTTCGACACGAGGAAAGCTACGTCGAGAAATGTTGCGTTAGCTTGGCTGGAGCAAGGCTGACTGGTGAGTGGACCAATCTTTTTTATTAAATTTATATCAATCAAACTATTGAACACTGGGAAAATATCACTCTACTATCTTAATTTTTCTTTTATCACATTGTAAGAAATGTCACATTACAAAGAAAGTCGGACACCGGTGAATCGTTCCCTATTAGGAGATTATAGGCTCGATTCCTGCGATTAAATGTTTCAATAAAAAAAATTTAACTGAGTAATACTTGAGATTCGGTTTAATGTCTTTCAAAATAAAACTTCATGATAAGAGTGTTTCCATAACTTTTCAATGGCTCAATTGATTCAAGTGCTAGCTTTCTTCACACACCCTCACCTTTCATACACCAACTGGACCAGACCTAACGGATCATATTCAATCTAAGTACATACTTCTTCGGCTGTACTTAAACTGAAGTATACTAAGTTGCACGTGTAACTGACAGCGCAAAATAATGTCTAAGCGTGCATCACCTACAGTCGCGTTATCGCAGTCAGTTTTTAATCAATGATCAATTTGTTGGTCATGGCAAGTTTTTGAAAACGATCTATGGCTAATGTATGCGAAACGTAAATTTTACTGCGAGGATTTTGCTTTCAAAGCAGGTAGTTTTCCAACGAGAGACACCCTGTATTTCAATTTCAGTAACTTTAAAGTTATTCACATTGATATCAAATCACAGAGCAGAGATGCCGCACCATACGAAGTGTGCTTTGGTTTGCAATCCGTAGAGTGTTGATCTTTTGGTTTTAAATCATGTTACATTTTACAATAGGTTTAGCGGATCATCATCAGCCCAACGACATGCTTGTTTTTGTGGTTTTGCAAGTCTTGTTCACCCTGGGTACTGTACATAACACTTTTTCTCTTCGTTTATTTTATCTTGTGAAGCCATTATAAATGTCAGTATTATTCATAAATAAAAGTGATGAGGACGCAGACCAAAAGTGTTTTTAAGTCAAAATAGATTTGTAGATTCAGCAACCATGTTTAAGTAATCCTCTAAAACCTATTGAAAAGTTTCACTTACCAGTATTTCGGTGGTGAAGTTATGGTATGGAAAAACTGGTTATTTTTGGAATGGGTAATAAAATGAACGATGATACGATAAATGATAATCGTGACATATTCTGTTCTCAATTAATTAAAAGGCCTGTTTTTAAACACCGCTACTTATCCTTATTGAAGATGATTGAGCATTACCCACAACAGTTTCCCAATTTAAACACTCCACGAAATATTTATATTACTTAAAAGATGTATCACAAGTGTGAAGAACTTGTTTCTTGTTAAAATGAATTCTCAATGTCAAGCGCAGATGTTTGTGGTCAAAGGTTGATTCAAATAAGAGGAAATATATGTAACGAAACCGGTGAAAGCTGAAATCTAAAATTTGCCTCACAGGCTCGTCATTCGATATTTTTGACGAAAACTGCTTAATTTCGACCAATTTATTGAGAAGGCGACATGGTGTTCCAGACCTCACTTGGTCAGAAGCTCTCGCAACTGATGCTCGCAAATGGGCAACTTTCTTGGCTGAAAGTGACACTTTCGAACACGATTATAGCAGTATGCAAGAAAAACACCAAGGAGAAAATTTGGCTTTCTTCAAGCCGTACAAGGCGAAGTGTCAAGGACCCAAGAGGGGCGACTGCGTTCAGTGTCGAGAGATTGTTGACGGCTGGTACGATGAGGTCAAAAATTATGACTTTGGAATGGGAAAACCCAAAACGCCCGGGGGCGTGGTAATGCATTTTACACAGGCAAGTACCTGTTGGTCTAAGAATGAATTACGAATTCGTTGCCCAAAAAGTAGGAAAAAAAGGGAAAAAAGGAAAAGGTAATTTTTTTTCCGTTTTTCCCGAGAAAGAATATACACCGTTAAGGGACTAAAATGGGTAATTCTACCCCGCCAAACACTTTCCCTTTCTTTAATCCTTTCTCGTTCGGGTTTGGATTACATTCTCTACATTTTAGCGAAGATATAAAAATAATTTATGAATATTTCCCATGAATAAACATACTAGACGAAAAATTATTATTAGTGGGCCGGGCTTTTGCTTTTCCTTTTCCTATCTGATATTGTTGAATGATTTACCAAAACAAAGACATCAACCTTTACTCTTATTAGTTTCATTGTGCTCAATAACTTCTCGCATTATAAAACTGGGATGTGTTTTTTACAAATGTTCATCTAATTATAGGAAGTATGGAAAAACTCCCGTCAGTTTGGTATTGGAACTGCAAAGAGCAACAAGTACGGTTTCATAGCTGTGGCTCGGTACAGTCCTCGTGGAAACAGAGGGGGACCCGCCATTTTTAAAGACAATGTTTTTCCTCCGGGTATATATTGTTATAAATTAATCACGACCTTTTGCATTTCAATGAGTCCTCTGTGTAGCCATAGCCATAGACACTCTGGTATCAAATAAATCTCGTTCGAAAGGGAGTTGTCAGATTCATTAGCTGGCTAATCATAATATGATAGGCAAATATTCACCATATGATAAAATCCAGGGGTACAGGTGTAAAATGCGTGGACGTGAGTAGAACGTGTGGCTTCTATTTTGTGGCCTTTTCAGGGATTATTAGGAAGTGTCATTTCTGATGAACTCGGGAGAAGGGATCTTAGTTGAAGGAGCTTAATACATAACAGAAAGAAAATAGAGGTACAAACCATAAGATATTGAAAAATTGTTCTCAAAAATTATACTAGTGAAACTGGAATATTGGGTACCTAACTATGTTATGTATTTCAAAATTTAGGAACCATTTCAGACCCGACAGCTTCAGTCAATACTTCTACCCAGTCCCCTCCAACGCCCACTGGGCCAGGGACTCTTCTTATGAACGACGCGACTGCTGCCGCTACCCCTGCATCAGGTAAAATTATGATTTAGTTAGGAGATCAGCACAAACCTTAATAGCTTCTTTTTTATGCCCTTTAGCCTTTGTTTGCATTGCTTAAGGAGCTCCAGACCTCAGAATTTCGCGCTCTGCCTCTGAGCCACTCGATGTTACATGTAGCTAAGCCATTAGTCAATTCATATGTGACAAGCCTCCTGCATTTAGTTATAATCAGAAATCAAAATCTGCCATCTTTCTCAAAGACAGCTTTATAATCATTCAAAAAGTTAGAATTACTAAGAATAGGCCGGCTCTGTTCACGCATGGCATTTGATGGTTTGTCATGGCGCTTTTAATGAGTAATATATTTCTTCTGAATTAGGGTCAGTTCGCAATTAAACGTAAAAAAAGTATAATAGAGTATTCAATGAAATGAACAAGCCAATTTCAATGTCACACAAATAAAGTAAATGACGTTTGGCTTTTTTTTTTTTGACAGGCGGAGGTAGCAGCCCCACTCCACTGCCTTCGGCCACTTCACCAAACACTGGTGTGCCAAAAAACGGCAGCGCTACTGTTTTTCCGCCAACTCGAGAACCACCCGGTAGGGTATCAACGTTAAACTTTTAACGTGAGAAATGTACTTTTAGGTTTTTTTTTTAAATACGATTAATGACAGAATTATGGGAAACTTTGAGAATGAATTAGACAAAACTTGATACGTAAATTCTCACTGATAATTTTTGATAAAATAATCAATTTCATTTCTTTGGCTTAATCAATGGCACTTCATGAAAAATAATTTTCTGACAGAGATGACGTGCTGAGTAATTCAGATCATCAGATTACTGTGCAACTGACATTTTCTTTCTATGCTGCCCAGGTCCTGCGTCGAAAAATAACTCTCAGTGCCAATATTTTGTGGTGAACAGTACGACCTCCACTTACGCCGTTGTTCAAAGTGAGGCTCTCCACAGAAAATTTATGATATATTAAGATAATCATTGTAAGCATCATTTATATTCATCGAATTGCATTTTAGAGGATGGAAATAATAGAAGGAGCTGTTCAACATTATAAAAACATATGCTAATTTATCATATTCTCTTTCAATGGTGGAAAAACCAAAAGACATTTCAGACTACTCACTTCTGAATAACGTATAAGGTAACGTCTGTATCGAATACGCCAACAGAAGTATTACACATGAAATTTTAAAGGATACGAAGATTTGTTTTCTTGTTGGTCTATTTCATGCTGGTTCGTAACATATTGTAATCGCTAGACTTGCGGTTGATTGTTGTTAATTTTGCCATTGTTACCTTTTAGAATGTCGTGGTAGACCTAACGTCACCTTAATTCCCGAAGGTAAGAAACCTTAAATGGTGAAGTGTTTCTGGCGATATCACTAAATCGTGCCAGATCTATTTTAAATGAGGGTTCCATCAACCCGTAAATTAATGTTAACCCTGAGCAATGAAAACCTCTTTGAAAATTCGGACAACTGAATGTCTGGTCAGTTCTAAGGTATCGTTTATCTGCTGCTATCAACTTCGCTATTTCTCCTAGCTAGTCTTAGATTCGTCCATATTTCGTAAGTTGGCCTAAATAAGACAGAACCAGATCTCAGAGATCTCAGATCTTTGGTTAAATCATGAATAGCCCTTTTTATATGAATTTCCTCTAATTTCTTTTTTGAGATCTAACTCTGATCAACCTAATCCAGAGGAGACAAAGTTCACTGTGTGCATATTCATACCTAATTGAAAAATTCGCATTTATGCCCTTAATCATTCATTAGAAAGTCACCAATGACGTTGCCTTTTTTAAATATAATTACCATCAAGTCACAATATTAAAACGATCATAGCGATCGTGGAGTCACCTTGACTTGCTTTTATTTTCAACAAGTTAAACTTACCACATATTTAAACCTGGTAGGTACCGCTCGCCCGACAAAAACAACAAAAGAACCGAGTAACGGAGGAGGTAACAGCATGCAAAATTTGCAGCGATCTGCATGCTGTTACTTGTCGCAAAGTAACTGATTCCTCACGTAAATTAGATGCACTATTCTCTTGTCCAGATCCTTTTTGTTCTTTTGTTAAAATCCTTTTTTTCTTTTTGTATTCTTTTGTAAAAATCCTTTTTTTTCCTCTCAAGTTCTTTGCTCTTTTAGTTACTCTTTGAACGGGATACGGGGAGGAACAGCTTTACGCGCATTAGCTGTTGAAATTGACCCAGCCCAATTCATACGTTCTTAATATGAGGGTTATTTCCAGGTTTGACTGAGTGAACATATTGATAAAACAGCGATAAACAAAAAAAAAAAAACAATATAGCTGAGTTATAATTTGAGTCTGAGTTCGTTTAGGCTTAAATTCGCTCTTCACTATTTCGACTTTGTTCATGGATGGGTTTTGTTTTGATGGCGAGAATCATTAAATACCTTTCTGAAAACAAAAAGTTTAACAATAGCTTCTGAGTTCGTCTTTCTAGCTCTAATGGAAAGCATGTATCTAACCAACTAATATTGAAAATAGTTCCTATTAATTTATTTAATACAGCCCAATAAAATAACCAGTAATCAAATATTACTCGGAAACTGTTCATCGCATTGGATAGGATCGCGATAAAAGGTGAGAATACCATCAACTTTGGAACAAACTGTTATAATTTTCGTTAAAAATCTAATTTGAACTTGCATTAAATAATTCAAGTAATAGATTTCAGGTTCGAGAAGGTTCTAATTGCACTAAGTATTATAAGTAAATAACAGAATTGTTATCAGTAGATACTATGATAATTATAATACTTAAATGATGAAAGTAACCATCGGACTAGACTTCAAACATCCCTTATCGAAAGGAATAGAAATTAAAACAAAAACAATCTTTTACGAGCTATAGAAACAGAAAAAATGATCACATACCGATACGAAACTAACAATCAAAGTTTGAAACTACAATAAGAGAAGAAGCTTTTCAGTGAGGCGAATCGCACGTTTCTATCACGTGAGACTCTCACGTCATGCCATTATATTACTATGACTAAGATTATGGTGATTTTCGCGTGCTTTCCTCGCTGAGAGGACCAAAATCTCTCGATCACGCTTCTTACTTCCTACGTTTTGATATTTGAAAGTATGTCGTGGGTAGGTCTGGTGGTAAAAGAGACTTTCCAAGCTTTGGCGGGAAATATTTTTCGGGTCAAAAATGTCATCTGTGGTCTTTTGGTATAATTTTTCCTTAGATCTCCGATACTTATAAAGTACCTTCAAAAAATGCTTACCAGCTGTTCAATGCATTTATTTCTCGATGAAAATCGATAGGGAATATGACAACTCCCAAACCAGAACAATCTACGGGAATAACAACAACAACTCAAACAGTCCCAACAACAGCGCAACCAGAAACATTAACGACAACAAAAACCACGGCTGGTTCACAATCAACAAAAACCACTGCCCCGACCACTGGAACATTAAAACCAGAATCAACAACAGCTACAACTGTTAGTCCTGAGGTAACGACGGACGAAACAACCATGACTGCTACCACAAAACCTGAGCTAATAACTACACAAACAACCACAACCACGCTGAAACCAGAACAGACATTTCCAACTTCCTCACTGTCACTAACCCCACCAGAAACAACGACAAGTACAACTACGACAAGTAGTTCAGAGATCACAACATCAAAACCAACGACTACGCCTCCTCCACAACAATTTCCGGCAACTACGCCTGCACAGACAACACCAACTACAGGAACCACGATGAAACCAGATCTGACCACCACTTCATCTACACTAAATTCTGAGTCCACAACTACAACTGGGACACCCACAACTAAGAATCCTCCACAAACGTTTCCTGAACAGACAACACCTACCACAGGAACCACTTTAAAACCACAGATGACAACTGCTTCTTCGACAGCGGGCCCAGAACAAACAACTTTGACTACGACTACCACAAGTAATCCTCCACAGCAATTTCCAACAACACCTGTACAGACAACATCAACATCTGAGACAACAACAAAACCAGAATTAACAAAACCGTCATCCACGGGAAGCCCTGGAGAAACAGTGCCCACAACTACTCCTCCTCAACAGTTTCCGACAACAGCTGCACAGACAACGCCAACGACTGTAACGACTACAAAGCCAGAGTTAACGTCACAAACGATTTCATCTGCTAGTAAACCATCAGGATTATCAACCACCGCATCCACAGAAATAACAACAAGTCAAGGGGCAACAACACCGACTGTAACAACATCAACAGGTAAAACAACAGCCAGACCAACAACAAAACCTTCCACTTTATCCAGTGCTCAAACAACAACTGGTACTACGTTGTCAACATTGGCATCAACAACAACAGTAGGACAAGAAACAACGAAACCCACAACAAAACCAGGGATAACAAATATTACGACAACACAAACGACCAAATCTACGGTTACAACAGGTACAGAATGTCACTGCAAGACTGGAGAAGGACACGGTGTGTTCACAACCATGTGCAACCATGATTTAAGTATTCAGTCGCGGGAACAAGTAGCGTTTTTGGTTGGAATCCGATGCGTCTACGAGAATTGACTATACGTCAAATTTTTGGCCAGGTAGTTTTTAAAAACCCATCCAACTCAAGCTGGCATCAATAGTAGAAGAGGCTTTCGAGTGTTTTGCGCTTTTCTAATGCCTTTGTTATGCATCAGAAAGTCACGTTACATTTAAAGGTATTTCTCAAAAACGGCACTTGTTACCCAACGACGGTTCCAAAATCTTAGGAAGGGCAGAAAACGCGAAATAGATGCATATATATTATATGAAAAAATATAAAACCACCGCTTGTGATTGCAATTTTTGGAAAAGGAACTTAACATTGCGGATCTGAAGGAAGCAATAGTTTAAAAAGCAATAAAAAATTGTTTGTGAACGCGCCTTGGCCGTTACCAAGTGCTCTGAATAAAACCTGTCTTACCCTATACGAAAAGATGAAATGATTTGACTTTCATGATCATCAATTAAGCATGTTTCCTCGTTAATTTCATCTTTTGCAGAAAATCTATCTATCTAAGCTATCCATATCTCACTACAAATAATTCTTTCAACATCGTGATTAGATTTCAGAAAAATTAGCTCATAAACGAAGTGGTGGTTACCGGAAAAAGTTTCTTGTCGATTGATTTACCACGAAATGTTCATGGAATAAATTTGATGGCCACAAGGGCCCTAGAAGTATTAAGATGTGCGCCTTAATATCTCGCCGCATCATCAATTCATCTACTGTAAAACTAACACAGCTCCTCGGCTGGTTGAATCTCGTAGTTTTCCGGTCGATAGGAATGGCCTTTTCTTTTCGACAGTAGCAATAGATTGTTTACATACTATGTTCAGGCAATTAAACAGGACAAATGGCCGACGATGAGTCCAGTGGCATAATTAAGCATTCCATATAAATGAAAAGCCTCGAACAAGCCCATCCATGCAGTCAATTTCACCTAGAAACTAATACAGTGGTCCATACACCACAACATATTTCGCATGGTAGAGTTAGTCGTCTGCTTCGAGTTCGTGTAATACCTGAATCATGATTGAAATTTATTCATAACATTAAGAATTAATTAATGAAAGCGAATTTGCGGAATAATAGTTGTCAAGTTCATTAAGGAACCACTATTATTGAAATAAATTTTTTGTTTTTTCTGAAAAATAGGTCCAAAGCCTACCTCAGTCCCACTGACGACGAAGCCTCTGCCTTTAAACCCATGCGAGCCAAATCCTTGCAAGAACGGTGGCACCTGTGAAGTAAAGGAGGGCAATGCCACCTGTACGTGTCCTGAGGGATACTGGGGTCCTCTTTGTCAAGATAGAGGTATGAAGCCTTACGTATGGTGGTAGACCTTTTCATGCAGCTGCTTCATGTATACAGAATATCTTGCCTGAATTGGGCGACACAGGTTGATAGAACAAATTTTTCCGAGTTTTATTTTTATGTATCACTTTTTTTGCATACATTTTGCATCAAGATTGCTTATACTCGATTATTTTGTATACTGATCTGTGTCATTTGGAATTGACTCTTAGCTCTGTTACTAAAAAAGCACTATTGGTGATTGAAATCATTATCATTAATGCATGAAAATCAGGCCTGGTAGGCATGGTAAAAGCTAATATCGTCACAAGGGTCGCAAAACTTCATTTCTTTGAGAAAGGTAATATTGTGCACCGCTTTATTTTATCCTTAGGCCCCAATGCTGATGAAAGTAAAGATGCGTTGATGCTTCACAACATGTACAGAGCAATGCACCAGGCCCCGTTGTTAACTTGGAACAAGGAAATGGCAGCAAAAGCGCAGGACTGGGCCGACAAATTAGCCAGAGAACAGAGACTTATACATGAGAACGAGAGTGCGACTGATTATGGTGAAAATCTGGCCGAGGTTGGCAGTGATGATAAGGCATTACTGCGGGCAATTGATGCATGGTACACCGAAGCGGGACTGTACAACTTTAAAGAGCCTAAATTTTCAAAGGACAGTGGCCATTTTTCACAGGTAAAAGATATAAAAATGTATGACAGGGTTATAAGCGATGGTATTTGCCTACCAGGAGCGTGGAGCGTCATAACGTTTTGTGTTTTAGAAACGCGGTGTCGCTGATAGACTCAGTCAGACCCCAACCAACAGTTTGTGCTACATACCTAGACTTTCACTCAAAAAAACGAGCACTGTGATAAGTTGATTCTTAGTCTTGTGCCCCTGATCAAATTTAAATGTATCCCGACCGAGATACATTTGCGCAATTGTTGCCCGCGCGCCGAATACAACAGCTCGTTTTTGCCATAATTATGATTGTTTAAGGGAAAGTATAAATCTATGAAAGCAAAGCACTTAATGTATGGTCCCTCCGGAAACAAGTTTGTTTTGTTTTCCCTCGAGTCCTTATGTTTCTTTCGACTTCGTCTCGGGAAACATCAGGACTCTCGGGAAGACAAAAAAAAAATTGTTTCCGGAGGGACCATACACTAATTGTACATTGTTATCTTAATAACTATCTCAACTGATGAAAACCCTTCTCTTTCTCCTTCCTCCCCCTTCCTCCCCCTTTCCCCCCTCTCTCTGGATATTCACCTGTACCGCACATTCAGCTGTTGAGAGAGAAGGATGGTCGATTCTAAACCACCCTTTGTTGCTGTTGTTCCTGTATATTGCTCGAATTTACTGTGATGCAAGATGAATGAAGCGCATTAAATATCTCTTAGGGAACCTGACTATGATTAACTTTGCCCTTTTTTTTTTTGCTGCACTTCTATCCAGCTTTCTTACCTCTGAGGAAACGGTGTACCCCTTTTTAAGTGAAGTACGTATGTTTTATGAAAAGTTCCGTCTCTCATTTCATTAAGCCGTTAAACATGGATCGACTAAGTTTTTGTATTGCGTAATATTTTTCAGTCGTCTAAATGAAATGTTTTTTCCTTTTCAGTTGGTTTGGGGTGCTTCAAATGAGCTTGGAATGGCAAAGGCGAAAACCAAAGACAACTTAAATGTGTACGTGGTGGCGCGATACAAACCAGCCGGAAACGTAGTCAATCTGTTTGAATCAAATGTAAAGCCTAAACAGTAAGATTTACGACTAAAAAGACACTTTAACTTTCTCTCAATAACTTTTTATGGAAGAAAATCTGAATAGGGCGATGTTAGCTGTAAATGCAGATGATATATGGAAACACATTAAGTAAAGTTTCATTTACTCCTTAAATTTGTTGTCTGTTTTCTCTCCTCGATATTTTGTCAATTTATTGACTGCACCATGCATTTACGAAAAAAACTCTTAAGAGTTATTATATTTAGCCAGCTTTATGTTTTCAAGGGAAACGTCTCTGTGTCTTCGTCTTTCATCTTAACCATGAGTTCCGACAGCAATATCTGGGATAAGTCGATGCTCTCAATATCACCTTATTTCACTCTTCTCGGAAATCCCGGAATGACGCACATTCAGTGATTGCGGAAAAAATAAAGCGGTCTTTTGATAAGTAATGTCTGGTGCTGCTCAACTATGACAATTGGGCTTTAAAGTAAAACTGTAGGAAAACCCTAATAAAGAAAATCAAATCTTTGTTAAAATAAGATTTATTTTGCTGGGAAAGTTATATTTCACCTCCTTTAAGGACACAAAATATTTTTATCCCTATATCACTTGACTCGGATGACGTGATATTGATGAAATTCCTAGAAAAAGGAAGGTCAAATCTAGAGGACCAAATTCGTGGAAATGAGAAATTATCACCTTACGTCGAGTAAGAGTTCTTGCTTAGTAGTTCTGTTTTAAAGTTATAAATTTAACAGGAAAGGATGAGTCAACTTTACTACCTTCCTAAAGACATGGTGTTATGGCAAGAGCTACCATGTTTTTGTTTCTTAACAACTTTGAAATTCCGAGCCCATTTTCGTGCAAAAATCTCGAATGCCAAAATCAGGCGAATAACACTGGAATCAGTCAGGTACGTATTTCTTCCTGCAAATCTTTTCCTTATAATAAGAATATATAAATGCATAAAATAATACATAAGAAGACCATAAGCAATAGATGTAGCACCGTGCTACGCCTATTTCATGGAGGTGTATTTCGTTTCATTTGAAAATACCGAGAATTGAGTTTTAGCGAGACACCAAACGTTTTTATCCTTATATCACTTAACTCGGATGACGTGACATCGATGAATTTCCTAGAAAAAGGAAGATGAAATCTAGAGGACCAAATTCGTGGAAATGAGATATTATCACCTTTTCGTCGAGTAAGAGTTCTTGCTCGATAGTTCTGTTTAAAAGTTATGAATTTAACAGGAAAGGATGAGTCAATTTTACTATCTTCCTAAAAACATGGTGTTATGGCAAGAGCTACCGTGTTTTTGTTTCTTAACAACTTCGAAATTCCATGCCAATTTTCGTGCAAAAATCTCGATGCCAAAATCAGGCGAATAACATTGGAATCAGTCAGGTACGTATTTCTTCCTGCAAATCTTTTCCTTATGGTAAGAATATATAAGAAGACCATAAGCAATAGACGAAGTACCGTGCTACGCCTATTGTCAAGGAGGTGTATTTCGTTTTATTTGAAAATACCGGGAATTGAGTTTTAGCGAAACACCAAACATTTTTATCCTTCACTTAACTCGGATGACGTGATATTGATGAGTTTCCTAGAAAAAGGAAGATCAAATCTAGAGGACCAAATTCGTGGAAATGAGAAATTACCACCTTACGTCGAGTAAGAGTTCTTGCCTGGAAGTTTTGTTTCAAAGTTGTGAATTTAACAGGAAAGGATGAGTCAACTTTATTTTCTTGCCAAAGACATGGTGTTATGGCAAGAGCTACCGTGTTTTTTTTTTTAACAACTTTGAAATTCCAAGCCAATTTACTTGCAAAAATCTCGAATACCAAAATCAGGCGAGTAACACTGGAATCAGTCTGGTACGTATTTCTTCCTGCAAATCTTTTCCTTATGGTAAGAATATATAATTACATAAAATAATACATAAGAAGGCCATAAGCAATAGACGTAGCATCGTGTTACGCCTATTGTCAGGGAAGTGCATTTCGTTTTATTTAAAGTTACAGGGAATTGAGTTTTAACAAGACACCAAACATTTTTATCTTTATATCACCCACCTCGAATGATGTGATATTGATGAATTTCCTAGAAAAAGGAAGGTCAAATCTATAGGACCAAATTCGTGGAAATGAGATGTTATCAGCTTAAGTCGAGTAAGAGTTCTTATTTGGTTGTTCTGTTTTAAAGTTTAGAATTTAGCAGGAAAGGATGAGTCAACTTTACTACCTTCCTAAAGACATGGCCGTGTTCTGGCAAGATATACCGTGCTTTTGTTTGTTAACAATGTTGAAATTCCGAGCCAATTTTCGTGCAAAAATCTCGAATGCCAAAATCAGGCGAATACCACTGGAATCAGTCTGGTACGTATTTCTTCCTGCAAATCTTTACTTTATGGTAAGAATATATAAATAAATAAAATAATATATAAGAAGACCATAAGCAATAGATGTAGCATCGTGCTACGCCTATTATCAAGGAAGTGCATTTCGTTTCATTTGAAAATACCGGGAATTGAGTTTTAGCGAAATACCAAACATTTTTATCCCTATATCACTCAACTCGGATGATGTGATATTGATGAATTTCCTAGAAAAGGGAAGGTCAAATCTAGAGGACGAAATTCGTGGAAATGAGATGTTATCACCTTACGTCGAGTAAGAGTTCTCACTTGATAGTTCTGTTTTATAGTGGTGAATTTAACAGGAAAGGACGAGTCAACTTTATTATCTTCTTAACGACATGGTGTTATACAAAGAGCTAACGTGTTTTTGTTTCTTAACAACTTTGAAATTCCAAGCCAATTTCGTGCAAAAATCTTAAATGCCATAATCAGGCGTGTAACAATGGAATAAGTCAGGTAAGTATTTATTCCTACAAATCTTTTTTCTTATTGTAGGAATATATAAATACATAGGATAATACATAAGAAGACCATAAGCGATAGATGTAGCATCGTGCTACGCCTATTGTCAGGGAGGTGCATTTCATTTCATTTGAAAATACCGGGAATTGATTTTTGGCGAAACAGTGATTGTTACTTGCGCTAAGTTACACCGACACGCCTGAACCAAACACCATCATGAAAACCTTGAACTAAACTGTTTAAATATACAATGACTTTGTCTCAGTTTAAAAAATATGCAGCACGTTAACCGAAAACAATCAAATCATAAATTGATTAAATTTTACTCCACCCGATGTTTAAAAGTGTCCTGGTACATATGCTCCACACCTTGATTGCTTTTCACTTAGTAAAATCAAAGTTTTTTACAAAATTGAAGAATCGTCTATTCATTATGCAAGTGAAGAGTTTGCATCTGCTGATTTGTTTTCATGTGGGGGTAAAACAACCATGTGCCAAAAACGTCTTAATGACGTATAATATCAGATAAATATCTTAATTGATAAAATGATTTCCGAGAAAGCTTGTTAAGTCTTCCTAGAAATGCATGGCTGAAAACAATTACTCAGTTATTGCAATCAATGACTTTAGGTTTGATCTTCTCGAAATGGAGTTATTCAGGGCGCCAAAATATAAAATCCTTGCAGAAAATGTTCCTTTCAATCCAACAGTCCTAACATGAACACAAATACAGAAGCGGGGGGAAAATGAATTCATAATTTCTTAGAAAAAAAATTTAAAAAATAAGAAAGGAAGTACAAAAGTACATCAAAGAAGTTTTTATCGCACAAATTTATATCAGCTCTTGGGGAAACTTCATGAAATAACTTGACATCAGGAGGGTGGTAAGAAAACAAGTCAGATATGAAAACTTCAATCAGAAGTATGTCATCACTTACGATTTCTTGTGTTTGCCCCGGCTATAATGAATAATAATTCCCTTGTAGGAGCCCCAAACAAGAATAAACAAAGGCACCTCGTCACTGGGATCAAAGAGATGTTTTTTGTTGTTATGCTATTAAAATTATAAATAACTGTGCATTACCATGCATTAATTACTGCATGAAGGTAGAGCTCCATCGATAAATTGAATAGTCAAAATAAGCGGCTGTACTCACCAAAAATTCCTTAGCTAAAAGCCTTAAACAGAAATGACCTCAGGGACACTTTTAATCCTTAGGTGTGTTGATTATGTGCCCGGATGTGTTCTGTAAAACAAAATGTTCGGTTTGGGATAATTACCGCAGAAATTGTATTATTATGCAAGAGTTCTTGAACCAAATTAAAATGTATCTGTCAAATCACAAACTTAAACCAGGCTCGATTTCACATGGAAACCAATTATCTTAAATTGAATACTTCAGTGCTTCCTATATTTCCGATGATTCGCTTTAAAAACAGTCTCATTAAATAGGCCCAATTGTTTTGAAAGATAAACTTCCCATCTTTCGAAGAAAATGTGTGAAATAGCTACATAGGGAATTCCTAGTCTCACTTCGTGTAGCTGAACGTAGAAGCCTGAAAATAATGGAGGATTTCTACTTCGAGGCGCAGCAAAGTCGATTCAAAGGACCAAATACTACAGTATTGTAAACCTTGATCTACAATATGACTAAGCGGCTGCAGCATACCGACCGAAAGAAGCCAGAACGTGACATACAGAGCTAACGGTTGTGTTAGTAGGAGAGGCCTAAATGTCTCCCGTCTTTAAAAGGTGAGCGGTAACTCTGTGTTTCAGTAATTGTAGAATTCTGTGAGTATGAGCATTTAGAAAGAGCTACTTCCCCGTTGTTTAATATCTAGAGCGAGCATATTTTGTTGTGTGACCACGTTTCTGTTCTAAACTTAAAATACTCCACATCGAGAAGTCCTACTCCTAGTATCATTTGTGCTTCTCGTATGAATCAAAAGTAACAAGCGCTTAAAATAGCATTTTGCATGGTTATATGTTAAATAGTACTGTATTTGTCGGTATTAAAAACGAAATTGAGAAGTTTTACGTAGGTGCATAATATTCGGGATGGTACGTTTATTTGATTTATCTTGGACCTGATTGAAATACTATCTGCCGCATACGATAGCAGCTACTGCAAAAAGTTCAATAAGCCATATATATTTTTTTTTTCTTTTTTTTTTACATTAGATGATTACATAAAAATATTTCTTCTCAAGAACATCAAAAATATAAAAATTCAATAGATCGGAATTCAGTAGATCTGAGCATGGAAATTTTGTGTAAATGGCGATACATCCGTCACACACATGCCGACTCATACGAATCTTACGTTGTGTATTTCTCACTAATTAGCCCCTTGAATAGCACTTTATAAAACAGTAGGAAAAAATCATTGAGAAAAATAAGACAATTCCACTGGTGCTTAATGTGTTTTTATACAATTGAACCTTACTGAGTTAGTAGAAATTGGAATGAAATCAATTGGTAGACATTCTATATAATAGAGAAAGGGATTATCTATGTAGAAAACTATACAGGCAATAGTTTTGCCTATGATACAGTTACGATTATCGTTGATGTAAATGTTGTACATTTACGAATGATCGATCAATTAGCTAAACATCATTTTGTGGTACGTGGAATTTTCTTGACTCTTACATATAAGTCTGGCGAGGGAAGGGGATCACTTACTTCTTGGATTCAAAGAATGCTAGCCTGGCATTACGAATACTGCACATATGTCAATTTTCACGTTTCTTAGGAATGATACTTGAAGAAAATAATTATAAGGGAGAAGACATCTTAAGATTGATGAACTGTTCCTAAAAATTCATTTGGAACTCCAATGACAAATTGCCCGCAATGACTAACTAGACAAGATACTCAATAACATACATTAAATTTAGTGCAGGTCAGAAAATTTGAGATCAAATCAGTTTTAAGTGGGTAGTTTAGTGCATTTATGTCATAAACCAGGATATATTTCATTTTCTTGTCAAACCACTACCCAAGAACTTCAGCTGTCAGTGACCCAATGAAATAAAGATGTATAGTAAGTGGTTTTAATCCGAAACTTACCTAAACAAAGGCTGCTGCATTTTTAGTCTTATCACACATCAAGTGAAAAGCTACTGTCTTCAAAAGATGAAAAAAGAAATGAAAAGGTGATAAATAATTCTTGATATAATTCATTGTTTATAGCGAAATTGAAAGAAAAAGAAGTGTAATTTGGTTTAGTTACGACTGTGGAATAGTAGATGGGACTCAATTAAGACTGAAATCTGTGGTCCGAGATATCTCTACCTGTTGACAGGTTACTGAATGGTGTTAAGAATCTGTAACAGCATCAATTTTTGTGTAACTGTGATGTGTGGATGGAGAGAAACTTTTATTTATGTACCACAGACAGTTTAAAGAAAATAGCTCCCCTAAAACATGTCTGGGTACACTTCGTGTAGAATCGACAGAAGCAACAAGCAAAATTACTACAAAGGCCTGCAAGCCAAATGAAATTTCTATCCATATTGTTGTTTCCATAATAAAAAACATGAACTTACCTAAAGGAACTTCTTTGATTCAACCGACAGATACTCGGAAACTAAAGGGTATTTGACAAGACCATCACTAAGCTGACAAATTTAACATTAATAAGTTATCTATCACTGGCAAAAGTAATTAAAGTGCAGCTAACTTATTGTACACAGACGTAAATTACTTTAATCTAGACAGAAGGAACAAAAACCCATTATCCATGTTATCGAGGGGCAGACTTTGTCAATAATTGGCAATCAAGTTCCAAAAATTTATTGATGTGGGTATGAACATAGCTTGGCTCTGATTTTAAAGGTCATGTTGATATTCTTCACAAACATACGACAACTCTTTAGATTTTAATTTACTCCAGTCTTACCTTATGGTCAGACTTCCAGAGTACTTAGAATTATAACATTTCTGAGAAGGAAAAGGTTTGCAGAAAACATTCAAAACAATGCAAACACAGCAAGGAGGACTTGATTTCAGAGGAGAGATTGAGTTATGATGTTAAAAGTTAAAAGGGGAAAGCAGCATCGTCTGTACGAAGAAATGTAAAATATATCTTATTATTTCCATTATTTAGACAAAAAGTCGATGATGTATAGTTAACTCATCAATAACTATTTCATTGCTGTTGAGTTGTTAATTAAAAGAAGGATCTCAAAGTCTACTGGACTTTGTAACAACACTAACAACGATAACATGATCGAACTGTTTTTATTCCGTAACCCTCTTTCTGATAATTTTTTTCACTATTTTCTTTTTCAACTTTATCTCTAGCTCTTAAAAATCCGTCTCCCGTCCTTCCCCTAAGAGTTTTTAGGCCCCTCAGACCAAAAGTGTTGTCCTCAAATGCATTTTGATTTAAATGAAATTCAACTTCGTTTATTTCTACAGCTTGTTGTAATCATGAAAGGAAGCGAGGTTTATTTTTCCAAATGTTGTCAAACGTTCCCACTTATTCAAGGCCATACTTAACGGCTGATCTCAAGGATGGCCTTTCAAACTTTCCAAATAAACAAAGCAACACGAGAATCCGGAGATGAACATTTACCGCGCATTCTCAGAACTGAGATCTTCCCCAGATCACAACCTCACGCAAGGAATGAAACTGTAAAAGTTGACTTTGACCACGACATAGTCCAAGGTAAGTAAGAAGTGCATACCGAGCAGTAGAAATTCCCTTCAGCGTAACTAATCCTAGGTCAACAATAATCTGAAAAATGTACGGAAACCAATTCTCGAAAAATATAATATGAGTATCGACTCATGAAGTAAACAAACTCCTAAAGTCCTGATGTGTGATGCAACTGAAGATGGCATGGGAGCAAAAATCTGAAGCTCATAAGTTCTAAGGAGGTAATAATCGTTGCTTTGAAGATTTAGTAATACATAACAGGAAGTGATTGTGCTTGTTTTGCGCCTATTTATAATAACGCGAATTTCATTCAAACGCCTTGCAGTGTCACGGTGATGGCGGTACCGTTGTTATTTTATAGGTAATTTTGCAATAGACATAACAATTTCCCTTACGTTCTAAATGAACAACCACCTTAAAACCTGTCACATTCTAGCGAAATTATTCTATCATAGTTCAGATTGGCATATGCTCGTTGGAAATTTGGCCCGCCGTAGGCGTACCTCAAGGCACTAAGGGATTGGATGGGAGTAACGTAACATCATTACAGAGAAAACAACAGGGATGAAAAAAAAATTGGTTCACAATTAGAAACATTGCAATTCCGCAACGATGTAACGGATAAATACGATATTAGCTTGTAATGCAAGATGTCCACCATTCTATTATTCTGAGCAGAAAAGTGTCCTTTGCCTTTTCCCTCTGTTTTAGCAGAAATGGAGTCGACGAAGATCGTTTTCCTTGCTCTGGTATTTATTACGCTGAAAATGCCTACAGCTGCCTCTGCAACAAACTCATCTACACCAAGGTTTAGGATAAGCCATGCGACATTCTTGATCAAGCTTATCATTATTCCTGCGATACACAACGCTACTCTTCAGGTTGCAGTATGATCAGCTTTAAAATTAATGATTACTTTGCTTGTTGCTAAACGTGCTGGACTCGATTGATATGCGAGGGAGCTGTCTCTAATTTAGCCTTATGAAACGATTCTGGCTTAAATTTGGGTTGGCTAAAGCTTCATACATTTAAGGTCTGTGCTAAGTTTGTTTTCAAATCAGTTTTTCACATCAATTATTTCTTTTGCTAGCAATCCGAAGGCTTTACGAGTCATAAAACATTCTTAATTATGGTTACGATAAAGTTTCATCGACGAGCATTCGCAATAAACTACACTAGCCAATTTGCTAACTGAGAATCTTCATGTGTTTTATGTTACAGATGAAGTTGCTATACCCTTTCCTTACTTCGTCGGACTATTTTTACGAGCCGCTCATTACTTTTGGTCTCGATCTTGGGAAAGACTGCACCAAAGAGAAGGTACAAAGTTGCACTAGGCCAGATAAAAGATCATTTCAAAATGATTTCTAAAGTTTTAAATACTACTGGTGGAACTGTTGTGTTATTTGTGGCAAGAGGCAATATTTTTCAAATAAACAGCATCAGGAAACACAGTGATAAGTTTCCCCTTTGAATTTTACCTCCGCGGAAAAAGGGAAATATGTTGAATAAACTCACGATAAGGGATTTCGTCAATAGAGATTTTTTAAAACCCAAAAATTCTCCAGCTTATCAAAAACGAAAAAACGGGGTATAATAATTTCACACAGTTTTTAAGATGCCAATAAGACTCAAAGAAGTCAGGCTTAAGTATGTGTTATACTAGAAAGATAGACAGAAAAAATTGCTAGTTTATGAAGCTTGATTGAGATGTGCAAAGTTAATACAATAACTAATTTATAATCATTTGATGATAATATTCTGATATCGTCGGCTGGAACCACAACATTATGCTGGCGCTTTTATGAGCATTGATAATCCTGCTATATCAAAACATGGACATCATTCCATAATTTATTCTCAAGTATCAAAATAATGATCTCATCAAATGCTGTTGCTAAAAACAAATGCTAAAACAAAGTATAAGATTAGAAAAAAAATTAAGAAATATGTTGGTTTAGGATCTTACAATTTTTACTTCTTATATTGAATGGCAAAAAAGAGGCTTTCTTTAAGAACGCAGTTATGAGACTAGTTTGAGGGGCGGACGATAGTGTTGTATTTATTATGTTTGACAGGAAGTGGGAAAGAAGCTGAGCGCGCTGCACTCACAGGTAGCTGTTTTCCAGCGCCCTTTGAACTTCGTCGTAATGTACGAAAGTTCTCAAGGACGTAATCACACTAGCTTGGCATCAGTTCTGAGGACGACGAGTTTGATGGTGAATGCCACAGTATCTTTTATCAGACGTCAGGTTAGATTAACTATGATAGTAAAATATTTTTTAGTTTTTGTCACAAGTTTGACCAAATGTGCACTAAAAATTATTAGACTGGGTCCATTCAGTCGCAACTTAAAAGGTCGAGGAATCATTATGAGCTAGGATTCTTAAAGTTGTACCCAATGTATACCTATCACTGAAATGTTAGATTCACCTTGAAAGAGAGGGAAAACTACCTAAATCTCTTCTTCTCATACCAGCAAATTAAAACAAATGTCTTATCTACAACAACTAATTATCCTACATTTACTTTTTACATGAAATTGCAAACAGCAAACAGTGTGCTATCCTCGATATCAATTTCAACTGTTTAGTGCAGTACATTGCTAGTACAAATAATAAGCGTTTCATTTTGGTGGCTTGTTAGAGAAGTAAAACCAAAGATTAATACTTGTGATAGAAAGAATACCTCAGATAATTTTCACATGTCATGTCGTGCGTTTTTTTTATTTTGTTTCATTTATAACAAAAAATCATGATCAATTTGTTTTTATGTTAATTAACTTTTCATTCACTCATTCGCTTTAATAAAAATTGCTCTATTCTCTGCGTTTTCTGTAGATGAGACAAAAGGGAATCTTGCCACCAAAATACCCTGTAATATCTGAAGCTGAAGTCAATAACATGACAGATTCTTACCTGAAAAACTTAATTCAAAGGAATCTCGTGGTAAGTGAGGCATGACTGTTGAATCTATCCCCAATTCCATTTATTCATAAGTTCCGTCAAAGGGCTAAACTGACACTATAAGTAAAAAACCTCTCCAGTACGGTTGCCCATTACTTTTGCTCCGATGAAATTGATCAAACCTTTATAATTGATTGCTCAGAAGCCAACCTAAGATCTTAGAAGCCATCACGAAATCGATACATCTTCGGTACGTAGATACGTGATGGTAAATAAGAACTGTAGCTAATAGGGAATATAATTTTCTTCAGCCGCAAGCTCTCAGAGCTAAAATTTCACCAAATGAAGGCTAACGGGGCAGAGAATTTAAGCCCTTAGAATTGAAAGTGTTAAACTTACATTTTTTGTTTCGCTTTTTTTTTCAGACATTGACGGTAACAGATGATGTCGTGAAAAGGTTGCGGAACTTCATAATCTTATACACGCTCCACGACGTCTTGAAACAGGTTTCGCCCTGTACTTACTGCATGACTTCAAAGAAAAAGTAAAGTCAAGAAAAAGTTCCTAAAATTGATATAGACGCTTTAATTTCTATCTGAATATAGTATGCTGAATGTGCCAGGTATCTCTGACCTCACAGCTTACCGCGGTTAGTTCACCCCTTGAGATGAAAGGTAGCTAAGTTAATCAAGTTTGTGGGAAAATACATTAAGGATTATGAGCTGAAAATTAAATGCTTGAAATGCATGCTACACATGATTTGTACAAAATTCCGTGTAAGTGATACTTAAAGTTTTAATTAATTTAAAATGAGACGAGGAGCTATCGTTCAGTGGCCTAGTATCTTTGAACATGATGCAAGCTTGACAAAAAGATGCTTTCGCCCATTTAATCAATCAATCAATCAATCAATCAATCAATCAATCAATCAAAGTTTATTGTCTAACGTGAGGCATCGTTGCCCAATTGCCCGAGCCAGAGGCTCATGTATAAAATGGTAGACTAAATTTAGATAGTGGTTTAGCGTTTGTGACCGATGGTGCATAACACTGTGACAGACACTCAAAGACATGGGATAGTGTAACGCTCTTCATGTGAGTTTTGATCAATGTTATGAGATCAAACATTAAATATTTTGATAAACATCTTTTAAGAACTGACGCTAACTGCGACGCTTGTTTTAAAATTCAAACGAGGCCGCAGAGCTTCCCTCTGCGTTAGTATCATTTTGTGTTTTTGAGATTACTGATTTATAGGTAGTAACGCTTTATGTGATCATCCTTGAAAGTGCGGAAGAAGTAATTAGGTCCTCCGAAGCGCGAAGACAGGCGGTATACCGAAACGGTTCGAGGTTTTAATCGAGTTCTCTCAAAGTCACTTTTTATGATTAAACGACTATTTCTGGTGATGTATTTCTCCTAAAGTGATGAATTGATAGGATACGTTTTGTGGTTTAATACTGGCTTCTAGCCAGTATTAGTAAGTGCCTTTTAGGAAGACAAACAACGACCGTGACCGAATTTTAAGTAAGAAGGGGTGTTTAACTCGAGAGAATGTGCTCCTTTGAGGAAAAGATCAAAATTCATCAATCACGAAATTTTGGTCCATCCGTCTATGTGAAAGCATACACGTGCTGAGATCGGATTGTAAGTCGGGTCGTTAACAAATTCTGAACAAACGGTATTTTACGTAAACAAATATAAAGATCAGGGCCCAGTTGTCTAAAGGTCGGATAACGCTATCCGCCAAGGGACAAATCGCTATCGAGCGGATAAATGAGAGCAAGACGTACTACGTTATCCCCTGTTTAGCGATTTATCCAATGGATAGCATTGTCAAACCTTCGAACACTCCGGGCTAGACGATTATTTCTGTAAATAAAATGCTTCCATTAAAAAACAGCTTGCTTCGCATTGATAATTAATTCAGACTTCAGAAACTATTATATTATCACATTTCCAGTTTCTCCTTCTACTTCCTTGTGATCTCATACTTCAGTTTCATAACATGATCGGATGTATTTTTCATATACATAAATAATTTTCAAATAACCACCAGAAATAGTGTTGACAAATTAACAATATTATTAAAGATTTTACGAAGTGCCAACTCGATCTGGAGATTGACTCATGTTCTATATAAAAACTAAATACTTTGTGTTCGGGGCTCTAACTTGTGTATCTATCAAATGGGGTTCCCGCCAGCTCAAGTAAAAAAAAAACCTCTGCAACTTGTTTACGAAGCTGTTTGTCCCTCACGTCGTGCTACTCACCACAAATTCTAAAGCGCAATATCGTATGCTTACTTCTTAAAATTTCTATATCCGCAAGAATACGGCCTAAAGTTACGGAGAAAACTAATCCATTCTCACAGAGTTTCGGGAGGGGGTAATTCGTTGGTTGACGAGAGCTAGAAAGGGCGATGACGTTTACGAGTCATAAAAAATCTTAAAAGAATCCTTTTTCAGCTTCTAGAATGATTCGTCGCGTTTTCCCTTGTCCAATTTCTAAAAATAATCAAAACAGTGAGAGGGTGAATGACGCAAAAGTGTGACCTTCCCGTGGAACTCGATATATATTTGTCTTAGCTTTACTGAATAAAACATACGATCGAGTAGCATTTGTTACCCTGAAAAGCCTGTAGTCTTCACGTTTTATTTCCGAGTCACTGAGTTGCCAAAATCAGTCTAATCTCCATTATAGATCACCACTCTCGAAAGACACAATAACATTTACCAATTAAAATACTGTGTTGCGCGCCAGTCGCTTGCTTCCAACCGGTTCAGTGTGACTGGATCCTAAAAGAAACCGTACGGCAACAGTAATTTGGGAGCCAATCAATGACGGGCCTTGCTGTGGGTATCAAACGTGTGCATAGTTCAGAGAAAGATTACTAAAACTTAAATCAATATCAGGGTAATGGCGACAGCCAGTTCTACCACCGCTTCTGCTATAGGATTGAATTATAGCGCGTAATTCTCTTAGAATTCGGATCCGAAGTTAGTGTTTAGAAAGACTATTGCTAGCAAATAATGTTGGGCCAAGTACTCGCCCTTATTAATGGTTTGCAGCTACCGTTTGATGGCAGATATATACTTTTATTGACGTCAAATGATATGGAGTAACGTTGTACGGTAATTCGACTTGCTATTGCTAATATAGACAACATCCCCGTGAAAAAACAACTTTTTCATATTGCTAATACAGATATCATCTCTTTGAATAAACCACTTTTTCATATTTCATTCGTTTAACAAACAACAATCATTAAAATTGAATTTACGAAATGGTAGCATTAGAATAATTTTCAAGTTTGAACAAAGTCAAAAGGCTTAAAGCTCACTAGGGAACAGCATTTTCATTATGTTAAACACCTGTAATAGTATGTGAACAGTGAACTTTAAATCCTTGGTCTAGCTTTCTGTTTTATGACACAAAAACTTAAGTAGATTTGGTAATATTTCATCTAGAATATTTCTATATCAACAACATTTCCATATTATAGGTAGAACGGGCGAAAGAGCTAACTTACACACTTCGGCGTGGGTGAGAAAAAGAGAATAACATGTTATCATTGTTCCTTAGGATTCCGTGCATTTACACCGTCACTTTCATAAATTTCCTTAGCTTAATGCTGTTTGAAAAGCGAAATTGACTCAGTTGCCTGCGTCAATACTAGAGTATTCCACAATCACGCAACACATTATTATACATCTCCTTCAAACAAGCTGCTCAATATTATATCTGAGCACTCTATTCATAAATAGATCATGGTAGCTGTGACTCTAAATCATACTTTGCGTCACACATTAAAAATTCAAAGCAATATACGATAACGAAACAATACAATACAGACCTGGTTACATGGAAAGAGAAAAGCCCGCAAATGAAGGTCCGATAAATTTACTTCCTTTGGTTTAAAAATAAATAGCCCCAGTCAAATAGGAAGGAACCATTTATTCTATACAAAAATACAATTTTAGGATGATCGGCGCTCTTTTCTCTCTCCAATTTACCTCCAAGGTCAAGCGATACCGAGTTTTTCCAGTTTAGATTAGATATTATCAACTGTCGATGAATGTGCTAGTCTAGAAAAAAATGACTGCCACTTAAAAATTGGAGCAAGAATTCCAAATCAGCATTCGTTGTTTTGGGAAATCATATTGCCTGAAATAACCCGCTATGGCCTTTCTAGATTTCTCTCGCCCAGTGCAATAATATGTGGAAAGCGTAAGGCTGAACAGATGTGATAGAGTTAAGTCTCCACGACCTAATTTCTTAAGTAATTCACGATCAAATGATAGGTCTTCGACATGACTAGTTAAACTACTGTGACCCTTTTCAGTCTGTTTAAGTCGTCCAGTGAGGGAACATATAAGTGGAAAATTACCCACAAATGAAAACTGAAACCCAATTTTTTTCTTAGAAGTTAATATTGGACTCACTGTTATAAAAGGAAATCAGCGATTATGCATGGTCACCAAGTTTAAGATGAATTTTTTGAGTAGTGCGGAAGAGAACTATCACATTTGATTATCTCAAATTCTCCCAAATCCTCGAGTTCAAAGGCCTTTCGCAGCGGTGTGATTCAAAAACAGATGAGGGTTTAAGGTAACAGAAAAGGAATAAGTGAAAATAAGGCCTTTGAGTGCAATGACCATCATCATACATACCCTAATCGGCGTCGGCCAGTGCTAGTTTTTATTACAGTGGGTCATGATCAAAGAATAGCTTCATTTTCGTGAAGTTGGAAATAATTTCTTGTCGACTCATTTTTTTGGTATGATTTCAATATCGAAAATGTTGAATGCCCCTCCAGGAAGAGTTGACAAATTTCTCCTGAAATTTTCTAAAATGGAAGGGTAATGAGAGAGTAAGGAAGACGCTTCAAGGAAAACACCCACTGGTTCCTTATGGAAAAGATGATGCAAAACCTACCAAACTGCTTCCTGCCCAATTTGTATAAATGCAGGCGCGTTGCGATCCAAACACAAACTTTCAAGAATCCAACACAAACTGGACTTCAACGTAACAGATAAATTCATCTACAAAGAAAGAAGTGTAAGGTGAGTTAAGAGACTTCTACATTTTTTGTACACAAATTTACCATACATGTTTAAGCTCCGAATGGAACTCATTGGAAGCCTTAAGCCAATTTTTAACGCAATTCGCCTTGAAAAAGGATTTAAAAGGAAGAGGAGAAAAAAACATAGGCTGATTTTCGGGGATCCACAGCAGGATCATTTGTTGCCAAGTTTTAAATAATTTATCTTGAAGGAAGAGGGCAATAGAACACATTCTGATCCTTAGGGATAATTTTGAACGAACCCTTCTCTTTAATCTTTACCTCACTGTGGAGTTAAAAACGTTTCAAAAGGGCTTTTTCCAAAAAGAGAGCAAGTAAAATGCCCTCTCAATCAAACAGCGAGGAAACATTATTCATTAAATAAAATAATTATAGGATAACAACTTTTCAGGATTTAATCAGCGGTTTCATCCGTAGTCACGATTTCAAAAGTTGCCTATTCAAAAAGGGGGCCTGTCAAACGTCCTCTTGTAAGATAAACAACGTATCCCTTTATTTCATAGTTAGACTTAAACAAGCTCGAATTCCTCAGATTATTTCATATTTGTCTTTTTCAACTTATTATCCAGACATTATAGAAATGGTATTCAAGTGTAAGTTCCTGTTCGCTGCCATGTTTACATTAACGATGCTGAGCTCGACTGGTTTCGCGGCAAAGTATTCAAGTGTGGAAACAATCATGAGACTTTTCTTGGAGCCCTCTCGCACTAACGCTACCAGAGAGGTGAAATGATTGAATTTGATTTTGCATTATGGTTACGCTATTTTTTAGAATTCGGCTGTAATTTATTTCGTAGTCTGGTGCCTAACTCAAGAAAGCGTTAATCGATACTCAAATACTCTCTTTCACAGATGCTTAACGTCTACAGTTTCATAGCCTCAAGCAATGACTTAAGCGAGACCATTCTAAGACTTGGAGATGCCAACACGCAAGTTTGCGCCTCAGACAAGGTACGACCTAGTATTGTTTGTGGTTTATGACGAGGTGGTAAATGTTACAAAGGGTAAAAACAATGCGATTCGGCTGACCCTTGAAACTCAAATGCAGAGTGCTGACCCGGAAAAAACATGACATATAGCCTACTTTTACTCTTTGTCTACTTTTCTGGAGATTTTTAATTGAACCAAAAGTAATTGCCTTTGTAGCCCTTTATTTTTTTCCGCAAAATCTGCAAATATCAAAACTCGCAAAATTTTCATGCCTTCTGCTTATTTAAGGGGTATTGAACTATAAAAATAACTATTTGCTTCTGACATTACTCTCTTTAAAGCAAAGAAAAGACAATCTTACCATCGCTTATGCCAAAATGAGGGATTTCATAAATCCAGTGTACATGGCGTACTCGTATGAGGCAGCACAGACACCCCAGAACAAGATTTTGAAAGGTGTGCTCATGAAAGTCGGCCAGCACCTGAACAACACAGCGATGAGATTGCGTCATAAGGTGAGAGTGCTAAACAATATTTCCATTAACAACCATGGGGGTGATTAAAAATTAAGAAAACTTACAAAAACACGAATGAACGTTTCATTCCTTTTCGTGGCGAATTCGTGGAGAAATTAAGAATTAGAGGTATGGTTTTGTCAAACCTTCTATTCCCAATTGAATGTCATTTCGCTTTCAGCAAGTTCCATTACTTTCCTTCCTAATTACTTATTTATTTATTTTTAAATATGGACATTTTTATTTAATTCGAAGCAGTTAATGTCATTGTTTTGCTAACTTTGTTCTCAAATTTCAGCTAACAAAGAATTCGTATCCAGTGCCATCCACACCCACATCAGTTCCTGAGGCAAACCTAGACCAGCTATCTCGCGAATACTTGACAAAATTTGTGGTATGTTGCGTGTTTTCATTATAAAATGACTTTTCAAGGTTTTTACCGTGTAAAAAATGCTATGAAACGCTAATGCAATAGCGAAATGAGTAGAGAGGTTAACGAATTCCCCATCTCAATGGGGGGAGGGGGGGGGGGGAAAGAATCTTTGAAACGTATAATAGAAAAATCTACTGCTTTAAAGTTAATACGAGCCCCAATATGAGCACCAGGGAAAAGAAAAGAGCAGTACCGTGTTGTTACGCGAAGTCTTTTTACTCCATCTAATGCAGACAGAGCTAAAAATGATCTGCTTTTGTATCTCAAACTGTGGTACTTAAGTATGATACAATCTTATGATTATCAAAATGTATTTGTCCACTAATGTGTTTTCAGATTCAAGATACATGTATTTAAACAGATAACTAAAATAATTGAGATACTTTTATTTTTCAGACAGGAACGATTACTGACGACATGGTGAAGAGGTATCGGAACTATGTTATCCTCTACACCTTGAAAGATGTTATCCAAGAAGTTTTGAATCAGTGTCTGTGGCGACCTAATGCAACCAGAAACCAACTTGTCCATCCTTAGAAGCGTATTGAATTATTACAGATACTACAAACGTTGACAAAAGCAAATTTAAAGAACCTTAAAGTCATATCATAATATAAACTTTGGGTATAAGTAGTGTGTTAATTATAACTTTTGCATGAACTCAGTTTGTCATCTTCAATGAAAAACTCTCTCCCAAAGCTTAATCATTTTTCTTAAAATTAATTCTTCCGTTAAGAGACACTTGTATGTTAGGTTAGTGTTAAGCTACACTTATTATAGTACACGTAGGGTTAGTCAGTCCATATTGAGATTATCATTTTGTTACTGATGAGGATCAGTGAATATGTTTATCTGTAACAGATTCGCAAAGGTAATTCTTGATGCAACAGTGAAGGTGTCGTTGTTAAATTAACAATAAACCATCGGGAAAAGAAAAATGATTTGATTTTCTTTATTTACTGGTAATATACCATAACTATGTGATATTCGGGATGATCTTGAAATTGGTTAATCCAAATATTACGACCCGGGTCTCTACACTGATGTCCATGTTCTATATGTTTGGATGCGTGTGAAGAAGACTGGGTCTCGTGCGTGTGTACGAAATCGAGGCTCAGGCGTAAACGTCTTGAAATATCTATTATGGAATAAAAAAGGTTGTCACACAAAACACGATGATCTCTCCGGTGTTAACTGACAGATATTATTCGTCTTGTGACTAGCGAGAAACAAAAACTCTGAGTCCTGATAAGGAATTGAACCCAAAACCTTCGGATTCTTGCTCTTTATGCTCTACAACATAACTACAGAGAACTGTAATGAAAAAATAGATTCTTTGTAGGTAACAGAACACGACGATATGTGGTTAGAAAAAACGTGGCACACAGACGTCTTCTGTGATCTATCACTGAACAGAAGCCCGGCAATATAGAATCTACTTATCCTATATGGTATGGTTTGCAGCCTACAAGTGTTTACTTTTCAAACTGAGACCCATTTAGAATGAAAATTAAAGTTAGGTGTTCCCCCTTTTCTGGCGCCATTTCCTTTAAAATGTTGATTGCCGGCTTTCAAATTTCGCGTTCCATCGCGTTGCTGTTATGCTAATGCATTGCTAATGAAGTAAGAATATTTAACAGGTCCGGCCATTCTGTGCCATGGTTTGACCTCTAATCGCTTTAATATATAAATTTAATATATTGAAACGCCATATTATTTACGCAAAGGCTAGGATACACTTGTGGAAATTGAAACAGTTTAAAGAAGGCTGTGTAGTGGGGAATGTCACATATAACTAAAAGCAGGAGGAAGAACTTGTCCATCCGCAAAATATGAAGTCTATTCTTAATTAACGATGGTTTTAGATTTAAGATTAAAAACAATACGCTGAATTCTACTCTCGTATACAATACAAACTTATCGTTCTTGTAACGAAAAGTCACCAAACAGGACCTTGTCCATTTCTTTAAATCACCGCTCCTATCCCCCTCGTTGTTATTACCCCAAATAAAGGATGTTTTAATTTAAACCACATCAGTGACAAAGTACTCAGAGATCACCGTTAAGTAATCAAAGGCCTAAATCCACAAACTAATGACCCATTTCCGGCGATAACGGTTGGTTTTGTCCCTCACACGACATGAAAATAAAATAACGTCAACACATGGTAACTGGTCACATGGTAACTATTTCGTATCATAATTTAACCCGTCAGGGCCCCGCAAGCGCTTTTATTTTGATGTGGTTATCCATCTATCAATAGGGATGTATTGCAATGAACATTATTGCTTCGTTTTTTGTTCTTCTCTTCTAAGCTCTATGATGATATAAGATAGGTAAGATATTTTTTGTCACGCTATCTTTTGTATGATCGCAGTTACGAACGGAAATTTGTTTCCTTTTAACCGTGAACTTTGATGATGGAAGCAAAACCGTCGAAGAGCAGAAAACAGTAAACGAGATCGACTTATCTATCTCGTAAAAACACGAGTGTGATCATCGACTAAAATAAAACGATTTTGGGAAACCCGCAAGTTTTAAGGGGCTATCCAGTCTTCTTGATTCTTGTAAACTGATAATAACCCCATATTTTATCCACTGCAAATAATTGTTTAACAATCTTCATGGAATTTGAACCCATTCTCATTTTTGGAGAGAAATAATCACCTTTATTTTATTGCGAATATGTGAAGTTGCATTGGTTTCGAAAGGTTCGAAATTACTGCATACCAGACACAACGTTCATGTAAAGGATCAGTTTGATTCAACACGGATGAATCGTTCGACTGCTATGAAAGGCACAGTAACAAAGTGCAAAAGATAAAAGTTTATGAATTCAAATTGATTTCATTTACAAAGCAAACGAACGAAATGAGTTATCCAGAATATACCTGATAACAAAATCTTAACGGAGAGATCGTGTGATCCGAAAAAACAGCTTCCTCTTTGGTTTGTTAAAAGACAGTCATAACGCTCTACACACTCAATTAATTCACAGTGCTAATTGAGTTTTATTGGCTTATGGCTGAAAATGCTTAGTTTCTATTGGCTACCTAATTGTTTACTCATGCCTCCTTCAAATAGATCTAAACTGAGACTACATCAAGAACCTCTAAAAATATATTAACGATGTAGATCTTTTAGTTGCAAAATCAATTCCTCAAAGTTTGGGTAAAAGAATAAAAGTGCCTTCTTATTTAATCATTGTGCACTCTACGACACTACGCTGATTTGCTAAAAACGTTTTTGCCCACTAGAAATGGAATTCTGCACGTCCTTGTCGCCACCATGTTCCTCAAAGTTAGTAAGTAAACACATTGAGACTTGAGAAAGGCGTCCTAAGAACTGTTATTGGTTTTATCATCATTGTTAATCTCAAGTTTTTTAGTTTTTCTCCAAAAACCAATCTGCTCTCAATCAATGATTATCCAAATCAAACGGATTAAAATGAAAAATTCAGGTAATCTGTTTAGACAAAGCCGGTGACCGCCAAGAACACAAGAAATAAGGGATGTGCCTGTACTGTGACTTCTTTCAGCGTGTGCCAGTCTAAATCATTTACAAAGATAAACTGTAGGGTGATTTGAGAGAGACTTCGACGTTTTTTATAGACAGATATACCATGCACGTTTAAGCTTCTGCTGGAAATCATTAGAAGCCTTAAGCCGAGTTTTACATAATTCACCTTGGAAAAGAATCTATGTAATATAAATCCAAAACCAATCTGCTCTCAATCAATGATTAACCAAATCAAACGGATTAGAAATAAAAATTCAAGTAATCTATTTAGATATAGCAGGCAACTGCCAAGAACACAAGAAATAAAGGATGTACCTGTAACTTCTTTCAGCGTGCCAGTCTAAATCATCTACGAAGAGAGAAGTGTAAGGTGAGTAAAGAGAGACTTCTACATTTGTGTAGACAGATATAATATGCATTTTTAAGCTCCTGATAGAACTCATAGGAAGCCTTAAGCCAAGTTTTACATAATTCACCTTGAAGAAGAATTTAAAAGAAGAGTACAATAAAACATAAGCTAATTTCCGAGGATCCATTGCAGGATCATTTGCAGTCAAGTTTTACATAATTGATCGTTAAAAAGAATTTTAAGGAAGAGGACAATAAAACATAGGCTGATCTTTGGGGAAAAATCGCAAAATCACCGGTATGCAAGTTTGAACGAACCCTTTTCTTTAATCTCTACCTCGCTGAGGAGTTAAAAACGTTTCAAAAGGGCTCTTAAAAAAAAGAGAGCGAGTAAAATGTCCTCTAAATCAAACAGCGAGGAAACATTATTCTTTAAATAAACAAATTCGAGGATAACAACTTTTCAGGATTTAATCGGTGGTTTTATCCGTAGTCTCTACTTCAAAAGGTTCCTATTTAAAGAGTGGGCCTGTAAAACGCCCTCTTCTAAGATAGGCAACGTATTATTTTATTTCATAGTTTGACTTAAACAGGCTTGAATTCCTCAGATTATTTCATAATTTTCTTTTTCTTCTTATTATCCAGACATTATAGAAATGGCATTCAAGTGTAAGTTCCTGTTCGCTGCCATGTTTACATTAACAGTGCTAAGCTCGACTGGTTTCGCGATAGTGTATACACATGCGGAAAACATCATGAGAGTTTTCTTGGAACCCTCTCGCAGAAACGCTACCAAAGAGGTAAAGTGATTGAATTTGATTTAGCATTATGGTCGCTTTTTTTTTTTGAGAATGCGACTGTAATTGTTTGCTTCGTAGTCTAGTGCCTAACTCGAGAAAACATTCGTCAATACTAACATCTCTCTCCCACAGATGCTCAACGTCTATAGTTTCATAGCTTCAAACTATGATTTAAGCGAGACCACTCTTGCACTTGGAGTTGTCAACACGCAAGTTTGCGATATAAGCAAGGTACGACCCAGTATTGTTTACTTAGTCTAATATTGTATTTGTTACTAGGAGTAAAAACACTACTGCAAAAAAAAAACAAAAAATGAAGAGAGATGATTTTGTCATAACATTTTAGTGGTTGTCCAAAAAAAACACACACATTTCCAATCAAACAAAAAACTTCGACCTTTGTCTCTGTACTAGTAACAGGCCGCTGTTCCCTAAAGTTACGTCTCCACTATTCAGAAAAGAAAGATTCAAGAATGCTATTATATAGAACGAAAAATTTGCGTAGGTTTTGATTTGCGAATAGTGACGATTCATTGAGCTTTAGGGAAAATTTTATTCTGTTGTTCATTTCCTGAAGCACTAAAAATTTGACAAGAAGAAAACACTGATGATTTAATTTTTTTTAACATTGTTGAAAAACAGCGCATTCCGTCATTTAGGAATTTTTCATCCAACAAAAAAGACTCTCAGAAGGAATAAGGTGCTGACCCGGAAAAAATCTCAGACAGCCCACTATCATTCTTTGCCCACTTTTCTTTTCTATTGGACGAAAGGTAGTTACCTTTTCAGCGCTTTATTTCACGAGAGTTTTTTTTCCGCAAAATTTGCAGACACTAAACCTCGCAGAATTTCTTTTAAGGGTTATGCTAC